AAGTCCTGTTAGAACTCATCGCGCCATCCATCCGCCGCTGCTCGGCTTTCAAGTTTCAGATGCAAGCAGTTGCCATTTCCCCAAGAACTGCCTGAGAGCAGAACAGCAAGATCCCAGACACACGGCGTAGGACTAAATTTAGAGCTACACTACCAGAAAATAAAAATAATTCCTTACAGTTACTGAGCAACACTTCTTCAGACATAACGCTGAAATCTGCTCTACGCCCTCCGCGAGTTTCGTGTGTGAGGAAAATTAAAAGGAGCAAAAAATTAATGGTCGATTTTCTTGTTTTCACAACAACCCTGCAGCACAAAGAAGTGAGAAACAACGCCTGATGAACGTTGAGGACCAAATCAATTGGTATCCAGCTTAGTTAAAGCTGATGCCCTAGTTAAAGCTTAGTTAAAGGTAAATGCTTCCATGGCATTTCAGTTATGAAACCCATCCCAATGCAAGAGAAAAATGGATTAGTGAGATCTTGCTGACCCCCTGCTGTCTGTCCTCACTGCAGCTTCCAGCCTTGGGACCATTGCAGAGCTCTCAGCCCATCCCAGATGCCCCAAAGCATCAGCCACATGCTGCCTCTCAGTTCTTTGCTGCAGGACTCACTGGAGCTGCACACAGTGGGGCACTGCTGTTCGACTGCTGTCATTTAAATGCAGACCGGATGCGTTGAAAAGCCTCATGTTCCTGCCATTCCTTCAAAATTAGCTTGGGAATTAGCTCAAGCTATATCCTACCTGACAATTAAACCACTATGGAAGTAAAGCAAAGGGGAAGAAACCATTTGTAAAGTTCATACTCTGATTCCAACAGCTTCCACTGCAATTCCACTGAGGCGAAGTTCCATTGTAACTCACATCACACGCATTCCTGACTGGAGTAACTGTTGAAGGCACTTATGATTCATTCCCCCTTTCTTCTCAACCCCACCCACAAAAATACAACTTCTAGTGGTCCTCCCAAGCCACCAGCCTCAACACAGCAAGGCAAACGCTCTGCATTCTGTCTGCCCTAAGCTCCTACAGAAAACAGCCCACAGAGATTAAGCAACGATGCCTGTTGTGCTTCATTAAAAACACCAAAACAGAGTCAAGAGAGCAACACAACACCTTAACACTAACAGCTCTGGGCTTGGAAGGGACAATTCACGAGCATGTGGACACACAGCACTCTGACTTGGTCACAGCACAGAGCACCAACTCACAGCAGCAGAGCTTTTACAGAGCCCTGCAGAAGCCCTCCTCACACCTCCAGCAGAAGCGTGATGCCGGGCACCAGATTCACACTGCAGCTGGGAGCTGCCTTCATTGTGCTTCACTGATCCATCTTCTCCACTTCCTCTTCTGTGACTTTCCTTCACAGGAAGAGCTGTGCATCTGAATGTCCTTCCTCTGACACAAGGCAACTTCAGCCCTCATCTCACTGCCCAGCATGGTTTGTGCCCAGCACTGCTGATGGCAGAGTTCCCAGGTGCTCGGGGCATTAAGCAAGCACGGAACCTCCTCATTACAGAGGACACACAGGGAGGAACACTCAACCCCAGAACCACCACTTCAACACACCCTGGTAAAAACCATCACATTACAACCTAACCAAAGGGAAAATCATTCTGAAGAGAAAACCAACTCATCCCTGTGCTATTCTTGCAAATCTGAGCCCTGTTACGAAGCAGCTCGATTCACACCGGGTTATCTCTGCAGTTTATTTAACACACACAGATTGTTCGCATACCACCCAAATTCCGTGGGATTGCTAAAATCCAGCACTTTCCTAAAATGGTTTCAAATCCATCACTTAAGCTCATTAAGCGAGGACACGGGCAGCAAGCTTTTCCAGCCAAATCCACCACGAAGTTCAGCCTCTGTACAAACACCAAAGGCACCCATGTGCAAAGAGCTGGCACTGCCCTGCTTGGCACCTCCAGCCCCCGCCTCATCCCCACAGCACCTGAACGGCAGCCCTTCCAACACACCCAAATCCCTTCTTTAGATCTCAAACCACATTTTAAACAGGCGGCGCACAAATAGCGAGCCCGCGCGTCCCAAATCACGAAAGCCCAACCGAAGGGCATCGCATCGAACCGCCCCGAGACGCCTGCAATTGCTCCTAGGCCCAGCAGCCACGAACACAGCCGTACGTTCAGCCACCGGGAGACGCCGACATCGCGAGCGGCGATGCGTTGTGCGCTGAAAGCCGCGGCTGTGCGGCCGATGCCCCGCGGCACCCCGCGCTACCGGGTTACGCAAGGCGGCTGCGCGCCGCGCCGGCCCGCGGCGTTACGAAACGCCGGGATTCGTCCTGCGGGTGTTCCCAGCTCCAGAGCGCGGGCGGCAAAGAGGAAGGCCATCCCGCTCCCCCGGGAGTGCCGCTCCGCCGCGCCGGGCCCTCGGGATGTGAAACCACGCGGCGGGAGCAAGCAGCACCGCCAGCCGCCGCGGCCGGGCGGAGGTACCCGCTTCTCCCCTCCCGACTCGGGGCCGCTCGGAGCCCCGCTAGGCCGCTCACCTGCGCTGCTGATTTCCATTCATGGAGCTGGGCGCAGCCGCTCGGGGCTGCGGGCTCCGCCGCTGAGCTGAGCTGGGCCGGGCCCGGGCCCCGGTCGGGCTGCGCTGGGAGGCAGCAGCGGCTCCCCGCTCCCTTTAGGCCGCAGCTCGGCGCCTCTTCTCGGCCGCTCCCGTCCCCTCAGGCGGCGGCGGCAGCAGCGGCGGCGGCGGCGGCGGCGCCCCCCCGGGCGGAAGTTGCGTGGCCGCCCCGCAGCCCCGACTCACGCTGCCGCCCGCCCGCCGAACCACCAGCCGCCGGAAGTCCCACCCCCGCACGCCGAACCGTTCGCCCTTCCGGGGAGGGGCGGTGCTTCCGCGGAGGGCGGGAAGAGGCGGGACCGGAAGTGCGTGAGAGGCGGCGCGGGGAGTGCGCGAGGCTGGGTGGTTGCCGGGCAACTGCACTGTGGGCGGGAAAGGTGGCGGGAGCGCCTCCGTGAGGGGAAGCGCGGGGCCGCGCGGAGCGCTGCGCCGCTGCAGCCGGGAGCTGTTCCAGTTCGACGCCGTGTCTGCACTGCAGCGTACCAGACGTGCTCCGTGGCAGCCGTTCAAGGGTTACGATGACTTTTTGGATTCCTTAGCCGCCGTCCCAATGAATTATGCTGCGGGTTTTTTTAGTCGTCACCAAAAGAACAGCAACGAGCGGAGCCTTGGCCCTGGTTCAGCTCAACAGCGAGCAGTTCCCATGTAGGGCTGCAGCACAGAGCCCTGCTCCCTCAGCACACAGAGGCCTGAAGCCTCACTCCCTGTCCTCTGCTGCCCTCAGAACCCAGGGCTGCCCTCCAGCTCGCGTGTGTTTGTTGCATTTGCAGGGCTGTGAGAGCCTGGCTGGAGTGTGGGAGAAGAATAAAGGCTGACCGGCCAGATCTGCGTACATTCAGAGCATAGGGCTGCCCTGCTCTGCATCTGGCAGTGATTGTAGCCGTGGTCAGTACCAGTCCGCTATTGGAGGTGATACTGTAAGGGTTCTAAAAGCATGAACACTTAAACCACTAGAATGTTTCCTTCTTTCAGGATTTAAATGGGGAAATGCGATCACCACGATGCAGCCATAGGGCTGAGGGCGAAGTCTCCATCTGGACACTTCCTGCAGTCCGGGCTGCTGTAATTGGAGCCCAGCACCAGAGCTCAGATGCCAACCCAACACCTGACACCACGGGCTGACAGAGATCTGCTTTCCAGACCTCGACCCAGCGGCACAAAGCACCATTTTCTGTTACATCTCGCTTGGAAACAACTCCCCTGAAACTGCTGAAAAAGATTTCTGCTATGGAGTAGGGCTCTTTTTATTTGTTTGTTACAATGTTAAAAGCAGGAGAAGATGAACAGAATTCGTAAAGATGCTCAGTTCTGTGCAGTACTTCCACATCAATTAGCTAACAAGTACCTGCATGCCATTGGCAAACGCTTCCCTAAAATTGCTTCGCATTATTCAAAAACCCAGAGTTACAGCTCAACTGCTAAATAATTCAGTGCCTCAAGGAATGTGGATACATGTTTGTAAGGTAAAGCACAAACAGATCCACAGAACTCAGAGGATGGCACACAACCTCCCCTTCTGTACCCATGACACACAAGTTATTGGCATGGGTTTGCAGAGGACTGTGAAGTTTGCAGATAATTCTAAAGCTGAGAAACTTAGAGAAATGCAGAGGATAAAGTTTAACCCCGATCCAAAAGGAGTCTGAAAACTTTTCTTAAAGCACCTTGGAGCCAGCTGCCCTTTACAGCCCTCTGAGCATGAAGTGAGCCTCACACAGAGCACGTGCAGCTGCACAGCGGGGCCGTACGGCCATTGGAAGCATCCTTCCACAGCCTCATTCCAACAGAAAAGGCCAAACCGACCGGCCGAGGGCAGGAGCGGCGTGCTCTGGAGATCAAACCCATCCAACCTGCAAACAGCTGAAGTCAGCTGTGTAAACGCACCCAAGTTTACCTACAGCTGTAGGGACTGTTTGAACAGAGAACAAAAGATCCAGGTAAGAAACCAAGTAGCGGTTTTACATCAGGTCTCGGATTTGAGTCCAGGCAAATCCAGAGAACAGTCCTGCCTTTATCTTACTCGTCTCAAAACCACGTGAGTCACGCTAAGGCTCCAAAGCCAAAAGCCCAAAGCTGGAGTGGCAGCGAATTTTGGTGTGTGTTTCTGCCATTTAATAACCCAAGGAGCTCCAATGAAGTCCTTTCTGGGACAGATGGTATTTTAATGAAAAGTGGAATTCGCTGTCATCATCCAAGAAGTTTTAAGCGCGTCGTTGTTCACTTGAGTGTTTCTCTCATTAAATTGGGCTAAGCTGGAAAGCGAGGGGTTTTGGATCCTCCACAGCATCTGATGCAATTCAGCTACAGTCAGCATTTCACCGCTCGTCCCCAGGCCCTCTGCAACTGAGCTCAGCACTCAGCACGCACGCTTCCTCCTTCCCCACGCGATCTGACTCAGGAGTGTCACCCCAACATGTTCACATTGCTTTTATTTAGGTCTTCTGCCAACACTTACAGGGTAACAGACACTTGGGACTGCAAAGTCAAAGTTGCAAGCAAAAATCAGGATTAAGGCAAAAAAAAAAACAAAACCTTAAAATAAAAAAAAATAAATCCACAAAAGCGATGAAATCAAATATAAATACAATGTTCTGGAGCTCTTTAATCATCCCATTTTCTTTAATAAAGAGGTGGTTACGATCTTACAGCGTTACCTTTTGGCCTAATCCAGGGGTTTTGTTACTCTTTACCAGTCTGAATTCCACGCGTACAAAAAAAGAAAAAAAACACCAAAGTTGATACCCAACCTTTAAAATATACGCCATATTTTCTTAATAAAATAAGTTTTGTGCTGCTGCTTGTTTAGTAAGTACTGTACATCAACTGTTCACATCTATTCAACAAATGGACCATACAGAGTTCAAGCTAAAGCAAAAAAAATAACCGCAAGAAAAATCACAACCCAAGGAGTGTTTGTAAACACCCCGTGTGCAGCTCAACACTTGTTGTATAAAGGAGGTACGAAAGGGGCTAGAACTGAACACAAAAGCACTGGAGTCCCCATCAATTTTCTTTCACAACTATTGAAGTGCAAATCACTCAGGCAAGATATGAATTTCATTGTGTTTATTGCTGTCCTGCTGTCTGGCTTCCCTTCCTAAAAGAACGACCTTCTTTTCTTTATTCACGCTCATTTTCCAAGAAGAAAACCTTCCACGAGGCAACGCTGAATGCTTTGTGACACCAGGCATCAGGTCAGAGGCTCGGGACGCCCCGACTGCCCCCGTCACGTCCAGGTATGAGACAAGGGAATCAAACAGCATCCAACAACCCACAGGTAAATGGAAGTTATTCCTCTTCCCACAAGGCTTGCATGCACTTGGCGATGTTTCCAGTTGCAGAAGGAACGCGGGCGCACTGGGAAGGCAGAGAGACTCGGAGCCATTCGGGATGTCGGCGTGGGGTTTGTGGCTAACTACAAATCCTGATACGCCTCTGGCTTAACAGCTATCTGCTACGGGTAGCAAAATGCACAGCACCTCAACATGCACTTATCTGGGTGCATCTTGGGCCAGAAAACGGTAGAAATACTGAATGCTGGAGCGGCGCAGGAGGTACAGTGCATAGTCTGTTATAGAAAACATGCGGGTAATCACACCCCTCCTAAACATCTTCAAAGTGGAAATACGGCTTAAAGGGCACAGCAGCTATTGAGTTTGGCTTCTTTATTGAATCAAGACCGTGAAAACCTAATGCAGAGGGTGAAATAAGGGCAGAACACGATCTGCAAGTCACCAGCTGAGCATTTCAGAAGCTGTGAAGCTTTTGTGTAGTTAAAATTGCTGTTAAAAGTAGGTGCTACATCAGCAAGTCTTCATTCATAGTTCTCTATGAACAGCCACCTTACAAATGAGTGCAAATCTTAAAGGTCCATTTTACATTTCAAGTCTCAAGGTTAAAAAAAAAAATGTTACAGAGCAACAAGCTGTTTTGTAAATGCCCACACTATCTCTTTTCAAAGGGTTAAAAATGGCACGCGCTATGCCACAGCTCCTAAAAGACGGTTCAGGATTCAAGACCCAACTAAAACACTACAAGAAGAACTAGGAACCAAAAGACCTTCGGCCCTCGCTGCCGCCAGCAGCTGGGTGCGTTCCGTTGTAATGCTGGTGAACAAAGCCACTGACAGAGAACCTGGACCTCAACCCCGGTGTGGTTCTTAACGAGGGGCTTTCTCATCCGAGGTGAGCAGGCACAGCCCCTCTGAGAGCGTTTGGCTTTCGAGGAACACAAGCCAGAGGTGTGAGGATGAAATGGAGAGGTGCTGGATTTGTGTCACTATGCAGGCACTTGTGTATAGGAATGTAGGCTTCTCGCGTTGACACTTTGAGTTGAGGCATTCCCTGCTCTCTAAAAGCTTTCCTAAGACTTCACACCCTACTGACCACGAAGAGCTCCTGGTCTCCTCCCCACCACCCTGCAGACAGACAGCAGTGGCGTTTGACACAAGGTGCAAAGGAAAACGTGAACCAAATACTGCAGTCTTGAGGAAAAAGACAACTGTGCTAAATGTAGGATCTTCACCAAGGGTGACATCAGTGGGCTCAGCACTTAGTTTGCATAGCATATTGATGTCTTCATTGTTCACAAACACGTTGCCCAGAAAGAAAACAGGCAGAGTGAATTCCCAGTATTAGGACAGATCAACGGGCCAGCATGACAAAGAGTGGATTTCATGAAGGCAAGGCGAGTTTAAACATCAGAAAGCAGAAAACAAAAGGTGTGCTTCCATCCGTGCACTGACAAGGGGCAGCGCTGGTGACAGATCTGCTCTAGAAACACTTTTGGCAGTAAAATGGTGACAGAGCTCTGCTGAGAGCTCGGTAGGAGTGCACACAGTTTCCCTCTTCAAGGAAGCGTTGTGCAAAGCTTTCATATAGAAAAAAAACCCACCCATCTGCCCACATGCCATTGGTAATGAGTTGTTACTGCTGCCCTGCTGTGCATGATGGTCATTCTGTGCAGCAAAATGAGTCTGAAAAGCAGCCACCACGTTACTGCTGGAAACAAACAAACAAACAAGGCTTTTTTTCTCCCTGTCCAAAAGAGATCGGGAGGAGCTTCCCCACGGCGAGAACAAGGATTTGATCATCCTGCCTAAGGAACGCCTCTGGTGTGCTTTCAGAACAAAAACCCCGCGCACAAATCGGCGATAGGGCGACACAAAGAGCAGCACAAGACAGCAGCACGACGGTGGAGAGGCCCCGAGCTGCACGGCCACACTGTGCAACACACAGGAAACGTTGGGAACCTCAGGTGCGAGCGCGGCGATGTAAACTGTGAGGATGTGAATGACTCGTGTGATTTGGCAACAGACTCGGTATCGTATAAAAATAATGCTCAGTAAAAAAATCCCGGTGTCCATCATAGAAATCGAGGAGAAAAAAAAACAAGACAAAGAAAAAAAGAAACTGATAGCGATTTCTGTCCTCATGGGATGACAGGGCCCCCATTTGTCAGACACGGGTTTAAATAACAAGTAGTACATTGGAAACAAAAATGGGTCAGCAGCCATCAAACGTGTCCTATATGAAAGTGCACATCTTTCAACGGAGTTCAACCACCACGAGGTTGTGATCTAACACAAACTGCAACTCAGGACCATAGAAATTAACTCCTTCCGATGGAAATATGGACCACCATCAAGACAAGATTACTATTTTCCTTACAAGATTAAAAACATTGAAATTTTGCAGCATCGTAGTAAGGCACTCACCCACGGAAAAGTCTGTGACTGTTGCTTCAAATGGCAGCAGCTAACTAGCTTTTAACACAAGGAAGACAGTTTTCAGTTCTAAGTGCTAGGGTGCCTTACGTCGTATGGGGGGAACTCGGGGGCGGGGAGCTGTTAGTGTTAGAGTTATCTATAAACTAGCTGTTTTTTTTCCCCTTAACCCATTAAAGCATCTCGTATTCTAAAATATTAGTTTTATAAATCTAGTCTTCTGTTTTAAGGCTCTAAAAATCCCCTCCCCCCAACCCCCACAAAAAATACCTACCAGCGCCTGATGGGCAACGGAGGACCAAAATCCGCCTTTCACAGTCAGGAGTCTCTAGTATTGCATCTTAAACATGAAAACCTGCTTCCGCCTCCTGGGACTTTTATCCCTTCCTCGAATGCCTTCAGGTGTTTGGTCAGGTCAAAATTTTGCAAAGCCAGAAAAAAATTAAAAAAATAATCAGTCTCTTCCAATCCTACCGAGGTGTTGGATCTTCCCGTCCGGTGGTGCTGGTCTCCTGCCTCGAACCGACGCTGCCTGCCCTGCAGTGATTTCTCATTGGAAAAAAAAAAAACAAGGTGTCCCAATGCTTCCTTTTTTGTATGGCTCCTACAAATCTGAAAGCTTTCTTGAGTGAGGTAACAAAAGTTAGGCTTTCAAGCAAAGTACATGGTACGTAAAGTGTCCTGATGAACCTGCACAGCCTTCGCCAAGGCCTGGGGGTCTCTGCCGTTGCTCTGTCCAGATATATGGCTGCCCTCGCCACTGAAAGTGCAAGAAAATAGTTGTGTAATTAATTGAAATTCCCCCCACCCAGGAACACTGAGAACTCCCTCTGGTACCAGTCTGCTGCGCTGGAAATCGCCTGCATTTCTGCCTTGTGCTACACGTGAGCCAAGCCCAGCGCTGCAGGGATTCTGGCACCCTGAGGAGAGTGGCAATGCTCAGACACTCCAGGGATGCCCAGGATGGGATTTCACACTCCTTAATCCCCCTTCCCTCCTACACTGAGACCTAAGAGGACGCAGCCGTGGGCGAACCACTCTCAACCACGGGTCTTTTGCCGAGCAGCTCAGCAGCAGGCCCTGCTGCACATAAAAGCAAGGTGCTCGGGCCCCACTGCCCTCCCGCAGGGTTTGTCCTCCCTGGGACCACAGGCACAGCCCCCTCACCTGTCGTGCTCCTTGTCCACGAGGTGATACCTGGCTCTGAATGCCACCAGCCGGGCGTAGTAAGCCGGGGCTGGGATGGAGACCGAGCGAGTGCAGCGCACGTAGGTATGGCACAGCTGGTACGTGAGGATCTGCAGCTCATCTGCCGTGAACCGGTTGTCATCCCAGAGCACGTAGTAATGGGAGGGCCGGCTCGTACCCTGCAAGGAGACACAGTGCTGGGAGAGGTGCTGCTGGTGCCCGCAGACCGGCTATCTGCAGGCAGCTGCCCTGCATCCTGGTCACCCTCCTCCTCAATCTGAACAAGCTGTCAAAACAATCTCAGCAGGGGAGGGACCCATGGTCCTTTACTTCGGGAGCCCTAAAAGTGAACAGGCAGGAAAGCACTTCGTACTGAAGCATAAACTACAGCCAGGCACTGCTGGTGCTTCTGTGCTGCTTGCCCAGGCTCCCAACAGCGCACAGCCCCACTGCATCACACTGCACCAGCACAGAGCTCCCCCAATGCTCCCACTGAAGCCGGCTCCTTGCAGGAGGAGTGGATGCCAAAAAGCCTCCCTTGTGGAAGCAGCTGTAGATGGAGTGCAATTTCTTCTGTATGGTTTCTGATTAATCTTGGCTGCCTGATGAAAGGCAGCTGCAAAGCAAGCCAGCTCCTCCAGGGACAGCTGGCCGCAGCTCTCCCGCCCACACCAGACAGCAGGGCCCTGCTGATGACCAGGCGCACCAGCGAGCCCGGCGTGCTTGGGCACCATCTGACAAGCTGCTGAACTGGCTGCTCCAAAGAAGGAAATTCTCAGAGGAGATCTTTGGCTCCAGGAGAGAAGCCAAGCACATGCCACGTCATGCAGCGGCCGTCCCGGCACCTGCCAGCACAAACCACCATGATGGCAGCTTGGATCAAACTACCCACGTCTCCATGGCCCTTCAGATGCACGGGAGTGAAATTTGCAACAAGAGCCAAAGGAAAACAATGCATCACAACAGCCAGCCCTGCAGCACAGTACCTGAATGCCTGCATGACTGCACAAGTAAAAGTCAAACTCGAAAGGGTGGGTGATGTTTGTGTCCACTGTTGTTCCTGCTGGGATGTTTCCGCTCTTCCCAATCTACAGAGAAAAGAAAGAGATCCAAGCATTGCAGAGTTTGGCTACTTCCTGCTATCCAGAGCACTGTCTGTAACAGCTGCCCTGCACCAGGGCCACAGCACAGGGTCACCATCTCCGTGTCTCAGTTGGAAAGCACTGTGCAGAGCCACTTTATTACAGGGGAACAGAATCAGGTCATCCTACTCTGCTCCCAGTCCCGACAAGCTTGCCAGCATTTTCTGCCAGCATCAACACCAGGCATGACGTACACACAGAGCAAACGACATCAAAGGAGCAGGCAGGGTGAGGTCTGGGTACAGCCCATCCCACTGCTCAGATGAAAATTCAGTGAGCAGAACACCAGCGATCTCTGCAGACAGCGTGCACTGGGGCCTCTGCCACGAGATACGAGGGCTTCAGGCCATGATCAAACACGGCCCTCAGGTCCCAACATTAAGCCTTTACACCCAGGTAGAGACTGAGTCTGGCTACATGACAGTTTAACCCTAAATTTGGACCAAATCTAGGAAAAGCTACAATGATCAGTGACTTAGTGCACAGCACAGAGCACACAACTTTGTGTGAGCTGTGAGCAAGCAAGGGGTTATTCGTCCCGTCACAACGTCAGCAACTGCAGCTATCACCAAAACAACAGATGTTTTCAGGCTGACAGAGGCTATTTCAAGGAGTCACCAGGATCGTCAGCACCCAGTAACTCATCGTAACAGCAAACAGCTGTCTGAGTTTCTAGAAGCCTAATCCTCACAGATACAGGAGTCAACTGAGCAGCACATTTCATTCAAGAAAGTGCTCTGCCTGCCAGTGGTGAGCTTTGCACTCAGTCCAGGGCTGGCAGCTCCTAAAAGCTGGCAATGAAACAGCCCCCCCCAGGCCCAGCACTCACCCTCTCGTTCTTGTCTGCGCAGAAGAGGCGGGTGTGATGCCTTTTCTGGACAACGATGTAAGTGATGCCAGGCTGGTAATCCTTTTCCAGTTTGATGCAGGCATCTCGGATTGCTAGCAGCTCATAGTGAAGGATCTAGAGAGACAGGCAGTGTAAAGGGAGTGGACACAATGGTCTGTGTCTGCACCCAGCCTTCTCCATGCAGCAGCTAGTGCAGCTTTAGGCTAACCAGCAGGCAGAACCAAGAGATCTTACACTGCCAGCCACGAGCACTCCTCAGCACAATGCATCCCCAACACAAGTGGGAAAAGAGGACAGTGCTCAAACCCAGCCTCAGGAGGAGCTTCCAAGCACCAGCTGTCTGGTGTCCTCACACTGCTACGCTGTCCTGAGTGACTGCCAGGTGCCCAGCACCAGCTTTGCAAGGCTCTGGCTCACTTCCACACTGTTGAATCAGCCCAACACCACCAGTACACCCACAGCATTACAGCAAAACCCCAAAATTCCAGGCAACACAAGTGTGAGCAAGGCAAACTCAGAGCACTGAAGCTCTTTGCTGGCCTTCTTCCTTGAGCAAAGCACGTGAGGCTGAGGGAGAAGCAAAGGCTGCTCACCTGTGGGAGCTGCCCCTCGGGAACACCGTCACGGTAGAAGATGATCCTGGTGGGTTTGAAGCGCGTGGATTTGTAGAACTGGATGAGGAGCTCCCTCACCATGTAGGACAGATCCTCAATGATTTCCTGGCGAGGACGCTGCACGCGCACCGTGGCACAGTAGCGGCTGGGGTGGGCGTCCATGCTGCCCACAACCTGCAGGGACAGCGGTGGGACAGGCCCACGTGTTACCACAGCATGGACGAAGGGGACGTGGGACTTCCCCATCCTCTGACTGTCTCAAACACCCACGGCTGAGTGCGGGCAGAGCACCTCGAGCTCACAGCTCAGGAGATGGGGCAGCAAATACCACGCAGGCAAGTGCAACCCAGAAAGGACAACCCTGGTGGCAGCCACATCCCAGTTTCGTGCTCTCTAGAGCCCTGTGTGGCACTTTGGGGAAATTCTGGTGACTTGGTGGGCACTGCTGAGCCACGTGGCTGTGTGGGCTGAGATGGGGCTGTTTCTGCTCTGTTTCCACACTCCTGCACAAATGCAGATGACTGAAAGGGAAATGCCCTTTCTGCCTATGGGCACACTTCTCTCTCCATCCCTCACTTGAAGTTTTTGGCTTCCACGAATAACAGCATCATGCTGAACCTGCTTTGCTGCGCCGGTGACATCTCCAGGTACAAAACCTCCCCTTACCATCACCACGCCACTGCTGTAAATGCTGCTTAAGTCTTTATTACGCTTACAACAAGAAGCTCTGATACCAGCTCTTAGCTCTCCAACCACAGCAAAAGCACCAGCGCCCTGCCCAGGCAGGACAGCCAGGAGGCCCTCTGCTCAAATGTCTGCAAGGAGCAGCTGGCAGCATCACGTCCCCACGTCCCCACGCTCCGCTCATCGCAGGCAGCGGCGCTGCCCCAGACGGCGGCAGTCTGCCCTCCCCAAGGACGCGGGGGGATGAGTCACCTCGTGGCAGCTGCTGAGCAGGGAGTCACCCATGGCAGCTGGGCGCTGCGGAGGGCAGACCTCAAAGATGTCAGGCAACGTCCTGAGAGCAGCCAGGCTTGGCCGTGATGCAGGGGCGGAGGCACGGCGTGAGTCACGGGTGCTGAGGTGGCTCTGGCCCCCACTGTGACACACAGCCCGAGTGCTGGTGGGGATGCTGCTGTGTCATCTGTGTCCGTGGCCCTCACACTCAGTTTTGCTGCTGCTTAGCAAAAGGAGCTCTAGGCTTCGGCCTGCTGAGACGCTCAATAGAAATGCTTCCTCTGGCCCCTGTGATGGGCCCTTTTCTGTGGTCTTATTAACAACAAAGCAAGGAGAAGAACAAGGCCATCTGAAGGCTCCTTCGCCCTTGCAGATCAGAAAAAGCTTTTATAGAAATTAAAACTAAAACTCCACAGTGGTTCTGTACAGAAAGACACAGAGGATGTTTTCAGAGTGGAAGCGCCGCCGCCAGGAAACAGACTGTTCTGTCCCACCCACACCTATGAACAAACAGCCAAAAGCATTTCCCAACCCCTTTTAATTAAGAAAAAAAAACAATCCTCCAAAGACATTTGCATGCCAAGGAAAACCTGAGCTACGAGTCCTGGAAAGCTAAGAACTTAATAGGAAAATGCTGAAGTGCTTAATTAAAACAGACGCTACGAGAACCTGACACTCTCCTTCTCTGCACCAAGCACAAAGCAAGCTGTCAGAGCCTCACCAAAAACACGAGCAGCCAGCCCTCACTCCATGGATGCTCATCACGGGCTTGGAGTGAATAAGCAAAGCCACTCCATTTCTCCCGTTCCCAAATCCCCATCTGGGGAAGGTTCCTCCAGGGCTGCCGTGGAAGAGCTGCGATGCCTCCAGCGATGGCAGCACGCAGCTCCCCGCGCGGCCGTCCGACAGCACTGCAGGACTCGGCACCTCGCGAGCCCCATCTGCTGGCTGCTGCCAGCTCTCCCTGCAGCTCAGAAGGAACCCAACAACTTTGCAGGTGTTCCCCAGCTCCCCAGGAGGCGCCCACAGGGCACGGGGCCACCCTGAGAAGCGTCACCACGGTGGTGAAGCAGCACACAAGTCTCGCTCCAGTTCCTGCCTCTCAGCAGGCCTACCAAGCACGACTGAGCCCAGCCCCAGAACTGGAACTTACAGCTGTTATTGAGGGTTTCTTCCCATCTCCAGCAGGTGGGTGAGTGACATCAGCCCCGAGGAATATCACTGGTTGCTGAAAGACAGCAGAGCTGGTGGGAAAGAAGAGAAAGCAGCAGTCAGCCTCCCGGGGGCATCTCAGGACAGTGCACAGCCCAACAGAGAAGAGTAGATGGCCAGAGGACATCTCCCAATCTCCAGGCTCTGGGGTGGACACAGGCATACGAACAGCTTGTCACAAGGCAGGATGGGCTACAAGCCTTCATTTCAGGGAGCTGCTTTACACAGCTGCAAGTACTGCACAGTCTGAGGGAAGGGATGACATGGAACACAGCACACAAGCCCTAAAGCCACGACAGGCAGCAGCCATACGAACCGCTGGTGAGGCACTAGGATGTTGTTGATCCCGCCAAGCTTGACGTTGATCTTGAGGCAGAGGTTGGAAAGGGTCTGTGGGGAGGTTTTCACCACATTCTTGACCTGGACGCACTGCGTGGCCATTCCCAGGAGAGTGTCCCCAACACGCTTCACCTCGGCTGTGGGCAGAGGAAGCACAGGAATGGGCAGGCAATCAGCAAAGCACAGCTTTCAGCATCGCCCTCAAAAATGGGGGGAGAAAGAGGAAGGGACACAGCCAGCCCTCCTGAACCAGAGCAAAACCCTTCACTTCTCCCCGCCCGCCCCGGCCCAAGACGCACCGTACACTGGTGTTTTTCCTGGCAGGATGACAATGATGAGCTGAAGCCCTGAATAGGTGTTCTTGAGGTGCCGAAACATGGGCTCCACACTGTCTGCACCCTGGGCATATTTACAGAAACAGGGCTGGCCCTGGATCGGCATCCCTGCGTCCTTGGAGATCTTACGCAGCTGGTCTGTAAAGTTCCTGTGCCCGAGAGGAGAGAAAAAGCAGCCCAAAATCAGCCCACATGGTGAATGCCAGCAGAAGTCCAACACGTGTTAGAGCTGAGCGGCCCCGGCCTGGCCATCCTCTCTTAGTGCTCTCTTACACACAGTAAAGACTTTTCCTGAGGACCCAAGGAGCTGTAAGCTATTCCTATTTAGAAATGAGGAGAAGGGGAGCAGACCTGTTCTCTGGCAAAGGTTGATTTCCAGGTGATTTGCAAAGCCAAGAGCAGCCTTCACTTATCAAACCAAAGCGCTCTGCTGCACGCAAGGTCAGCTACACTACCAAGATAGATTGCCAAGGATTGCCAAGGATAAATGTGATGCAGGGAGCTCCCAGCTCTGCCAGTGGAAGAGCCTACCCTGAAGGGGTGATAAGGGGAGTGCAGTGCTGCTCCCACCTGCACACGGTTACCGCACACAGAGAGGCTTTGAGCTGCTCCAACCCATCCAAATGACACTGCTAAACACAGCCAGAGAGCCACGCACAACGCTCACCTCAGTGCTTCCACTCTTGGTCAGGAGAAACTTGGGATCCCACCAGAATTCAAAACTAAGGTGACAGCTCTCTAAATCACATGAACTCTCTCTGCTCAGCGTCACTTTGCTATCAAATCAGACAGCTACCCTAAGACTCCTATATCATAGAAACCCACGGCACGTTAGTGTAATCCATGCAGGAAGCATTCTGTTCCAGAAGGCACTGTGTGTCCTGGAAAGCAGCAGGAACACTGCTGCTTTGGCCACTGAAGACAAGAGGAGAGGCATCTTATTCCAGGGGGAAACATTGGTTAATCCAGTGGACAGGGAGATAACAAAGGGCAATGTGAGGATGTAGAGACCCAGTGATGTCACAGCACAAAGGAAAACCTCTCCAAGGTAAATCACGGAGTAAAGTGGGACAGAAAGTTCATTAGCCAAATTAAATTCAATCCTGAGCTCCTGGGTTATTGCAGAAACTTTTAACTAAATATTTCTGACAACCTCATCCACCTTCTCCTTGAGGAAATACAGGTCAGAAGAGCTCAGTGCAGTACCACCAGCCTCAGGGCTGGCAGCATCAGAAGGAGACACCTGATGCAAAGGACAGAGCGAGGAAAGAGAGACTGGCAGCCCACACGTGTTACAGCAATGATGTGCTGGCTTCAACCTCGCCAGGATAAACAGCCGTGCAACCCGGATAAACTAACAAGAATCAGCACCCAACACCCAGCCTGAACCTGGATCAAATTTGTACCAGCAAGCCGTTCAGCCACACACAGATCCAACGTCAGCAGGAAGGGAAGCGCAGCCCCGGGCTGCAGACAGCAGCGCCGCACTGCACGCCAGCACAGCTCCTTCTGCCTCCTCCCACCCTCACGGGCTGCCCGTTTCCTTACTTCAGCACCTCTTCTCGACACTGCTTCTGCGGGGCAAAGCAAGCAATCGCCCAGACTTTGATCTCAATGCCGTTGTAGAACTGCTTCCCTCGCATGTCCCACACGCCCTGGTTGGGAGTTGCAATGGCTCGGTTCTGCAAGGCAAACAGACGGTCAGAGCGCTGCCGCCGAGGGGCCACGAGGCACAGCAGGACCGGCCCCACGCCGGCAGTCCCTGGGATGCACGTGCTGTGTCTGCACCCATCAAGCTGCACGCCCTGAAGAGCTGTGCTTGCTGAAAGCTGCTCCCTGCTCTTCCACGGACGACTGTGGCTCTCAGCCATGGGTAGTTAAGAATTTCAGCTCCTCCAAGGTGATGGAGAACTCACCTGAGCTGCTCTCGTGCGGCATCACAAAGCAGAGAGTCCTGAGAACCAGGCATCTCTCTGGGTGTGGACACAGCCCCCATCCACGTGTCAACCACACAGACCGTGGGAGAACCACAGCCTGACCCCAAATATCCCTCTCCCTTTCAGCCCACTTCCCTGTCACTGCATGACTCACGCTTACAACTTTCAGAAAAGTCATATTGCAAAAAACACGGAGGTGCTCCAATAAAAAAATTCCACCTCTGATCTATAAATCTGAAGGTAGCACAAATTTTAGTCAAAAACTGTGTTTCCCACGGTGAGAGCATCCATCCCTGTGCACTGCAGCCAACCAGCACAGCCCTGCTTACCCTGCCTCCATACTGCAGGATAGGCGCCGGCAGGACCCTCCCCGTCACCTCCGTCATGTCATCCTTCACCTTGATCCCAAACTCCTGAATGTATGGGTCCAGGTTGTAGCTGGCATTCTTCATCTGCAGAGGGAAGGAAGGGCCAATGGAAAAAGGAATGAGACCAATTGCTTTGTGCCATGCAGCATTCAGCTGACCAGGAAACAAGGGCACCTCAAGTTCTGCTCTCTACAAAGCTGAATTCCTCCTGGTAGGGAAGGGGAAGCGATTGAACACAAAAGGCCAAACTCTGCCATCCAAACCGACCTGTGGAGGACCTGAGCTCTGAATGAACTGACTGATGTAACTGAGAGCAGAGCAGGCTCCTGAGATGTAAGGCATCAATGGGAAAGTTTGGAGAGCAAGATTCTGTTATCAAAAGCCCCAAAAGGAATTAAAAGCATCCCCAGCTTCCAAAGCCCAGTGACATTCGTTTGGTAACAACAGCACTGCTACACAGCTCCAGTCCAGCTGCTGGCAGAGCCAGGTTTCTCATTCCCCTGCTTGTCCCAAGGAGACCTGCAGACACAGTTTCCATGCCACAGCCTGATAACGCACATCTCCACACACATCTGGAGCTGGAGCTACCTCTCTCATTTGCTTTTCTATTTTAAGTTCACCTCCCTTGGTGTCACTCTGCTTGAACCTGAGGACCTGAATTCGCTGCATTTGAGTTTTCCCTGTCACTCCGAGCTGCATTCTCCTGGGCAAGCATCCCTTACATGCAGATGCCAAGGATGGGGGATTCAGTCAGAGAAGAATAACCAAGCCATTAACCAGCATCTTCTAGGCAGGCCACAGCTGCTTCCTGCTGTGCAGCTTAGCAGCAGGACCAGAGTGAGGCACACTGCTGACACAGCACAGCCTGCCACCAGAGCCCCGGTCCAACACCAACCCCTGCCATGGTGGCACTTACCAGGCGGCTGATCTCCTCCTGCCTGTCTGGGGCAGACCTGGCCGTTGCTTTTATCATGGTTGATGTTTGATTGTCTGTGAGCTTCTTGATGCACCGCTGGCCTGCCACGATGTTACACACCTGCGGGCAGAGGAAAGCAAGCAGCCACGTGTTAACAAGTGAGGACCACGGCTAACCTGCCCTGTGTCACCACTGGTGACAAACCTACAGGAGAGCAGCATCTTCACAGCATGAGCACGGTCTCATCCCTCACTTCTTAGCAGCAGCTCTCACCAGCTCAGTATTGCAGTAGTTAGCACCCATTACCCATTAGCTGCAGAACATTGTCAGGCATTTGCCAGCAAAGACCAGAGGCCACGCTGCTTTTGCTTCTGACCGTGCCCAAAAGCTGGAACTCTCAACAGTGCGGAAGCCAGCACTCACCTCCAAGGGCAGGTATGTGTGCTTCTGCTCTTGGCCAACCTGGAGACACGGGAGGTGAGGGTATTTCAGCTGCAGGTTGTATTTCTGCTTGAAGTACTGAGCCACTGTGCACTCCACTGTCTGACCGCTCTCCAGCTGCAGGGGAAACCTGGCAGAAGCAGGACATTAAGGATGCACCTACTCAAAACAGACACTTCCAAAACTCAAGCACTCCTTACTCTGGCTGAGAAGAGAGGGAACTGGCAGACTCTCGCTCAGGAAAATAAAAAGCAGAACAGAAGTATTTTCAGAAATCAAGACAGGAATACTCTGATCCCAGCCTAAGACTGTGATCTCTAAATAAAGCTCTTCCTCGCTAATCCAGCTAATCAGGGCAAATGTTTATTACAGGACATGCCATGCATGCTGCTGTCAGGTACATAAATACAACCACATGGCACTCCGAAGGACTTCCGTGCTTGGTGCCTTCTTTGGGAGTTGAGCTGGGATTCAGGCAAAGGTTAACCAGATCCTGAACATTTATAGGGGCAGGGAAAGCACAAGGAGCAGACGTGCAGACAGCTCAGCACCGAGGGCTCCTCTGCCAGCTCTGAGGGAGCCACCCAGCCCCACGGGGGTCCATGGGGAGCAGGACAGTCCCAGAGCAGGATGGGCTGCTCTTGGCCCACAGCCCCCGGCACAGAAGGACCTCTTGGCCAACTCCCCTCCCAGGCACATGCAAATAATTTTAAGGCAGGGATCGCTTTATCCCCCGCCAAAGGTTCTGCTTCAGCAGCGTCTATTTTAAGCAAGAAGAAAACCAAACTCAGAGGTAAAAACTAGGACAACTCCTGGCATGTCAGCTCCCACCCTCCGCTGCGTGCCTCTGCCAGACAAAGCATCCTCTCGACTCCCACCCTCCTCCCCTCGCCACCCACTCTCGCAGCACATGACACAGAGCAGTGCAAGCTCCTGTGCCCAAGACTGCTGCACAGTGCAAAGCACATCTCCTTTTGCTGTCGCAGGCTGGAGTTTTCCCTCCAGCTCTCCCTAACACGAACGGCAGCTGCTAAAAAGGAGAACAGTTCAGATTTTTCCGAGGGCATCTTCCCACCCTCCTTACGTCTGGTGGCTGGCCGGCCGCCGGGTCACGTTACACACACGGTATTTCCTCTTCATCTGCCCACAGTGGGTAACCTCTACCTTCAAACCTGATGCAGACAGAAAGACACAGCAGAACCACTTGTAAATGCGGGGATGATTCCCTTCGGCCCGATCTCCCCGTGACACTACGAACACCTTCCTGAAATAATCAGCTGTTTGCAGAGCAGAATGCTTGTGGATGCCTGAGAAGTGCAGCAAGGGAGGCAACAGTGCCCCAGGCAGCGTTTTAAAGGCCCAAACCCTGCATTCCCTGCTGCAGCCGGGGTGGGAGATAAGCTGATTTGACAAAGCCAGTCTGCAGCAGCGCCAGGCTGAGGTCAACACTGCAGCAGGGCCCCTCAGCTCTGCCCAGAGGCTCTACCTTTGATCTCCTTGGTGAAACGCACTCTCTGTGAGTCTGTCAGTGGCTTCGGTTGTTCATCGATGTTCCGGATATCCAGCACCTCACACATGAACTCAATTACAGGCTGGGCTTTGTAGAACGCCGTTGCAGAAACTGAGGAACAGACACCATGATGTTTCTCTGCTCTCCTTCAACAGTCAGACCTGACCCAAGAGCAGGCAAGGTCCAGTTTCCCCAAACACACCCAGCCCCAGTGCTGCAGTTCCCTACTGCTGACCCCCCACCCCACCACATTCAACACTGGACACTGGACTCCTATCAACCAGACATGAACAAAAAGCCCCCAACCTACAGTGCTAAGTTCTAGCCTGTGCTCCCTTCTGTGGGCAAATGTGACTGTGCTGGGCATGCTTGAGAGCAAAGCGTTTTGGCATGAAAAATACATCACCATCAATGTTGAGCATCATCTTCCACATGGCAGGCCTGACGGACTGGTGGAAACCGAACCAGACCTCCCTGCCACCTCCCAGGGGGTGGTAATAGCCTTCAGGGGGGGAGAAGAAGGAGCGGCCAACCGGGGTGTACCTGCACAGCAGAGGAAACAGCACATGGAGCAACAGGCACTGACCACATCAGGGCAAGGCAGCGACTGCGGGGCACCCCAGCCACGTGCACGTACCTCATGGAAGCCAGGTGCCTCATGGCCACATCCAGTGCCTGGACAGACTCCAAAGGCACAGGGATCTGCCCGCTCACCAGGGCTTCGTGGAGCATGCGCCAGCTCACGATGGCCATCCATTTGATAGAGACCTTAAATATCCTGTCCTTGCCTTCTCCTGGGATTGTCACCTCAAAGTCAACCTGAGTGCAGAAGGGAAGGGAAGCAATCGTGGCACTGGCACAGGACTTCACGGTCACAGCACAGAGAGAGGTGGTTCATTTTTCAGTCGGCTCTTCCCATGCTCGGGGATCCCCATCCCACTCTTACCCTCTCATTTCCAATGGGTAAGGCCGTAACAGTGTAAATGTTTTTCTTCCCATCGTAGACTGGCTTCCGGTCGCCAAAGATCTGAGGTTTGAAGTGCTGTACCATGTACTCCACGACTTCCCTACATGGACAAGCAGAGGCAAGAAAGAAAGGCACAGGGGAGAGAGGAGCGAGGTTTGGTTTGCCAGTTTCTTCACGGCCTGATGTGTGACTGCCAGGTGCTGAGCTTCTCCACCTGAGGCACCTCTGGGCTCTCACTGCAGTGCTGCAGGCCAAGGAATGGCAGAGCCAGGTCCTTCCCAAGGCAAGAGAGCACCCACACAACACCTACGTGCCTTGCCCCACAGCTTGTTAAATCAGTTTCAGCAGAACAAGTTTACACAGCATGCAGTAGCTGGCTGCCAACCTGCAGTGCACTCCATGGACACAAGCTGCCAAGAGTATAGGAAATAGCAGCTACAGTATCTGCTCACTGGCCTCTGAGACACAGAGCCACCCAGGCTGCTTTGGGCAGGAGGGGAAGGAGAGAAAAGGGTGTCAAAAAAAAAAGGAAAAAAAAAAAAAGAAAAAAAACCCATGCAATGGCCCAAGGTCTGGGGCTTCCTATTTTTAAATGATGCGATTGTTGCCAAAATTGCACAGCTGCTTTGAAGAAGCAGGAGCGTGTGCTAAGCTCAGGACCTTGTAAGCTATCAGGAACAAACCCTGCTGCACAAACACAGCTCGCAACGTTCAGCCAGCTGCACACGTTGAGCAGCGCTGAGACTTCAGCACACAGGGGCTCCAGGCACCAAAGCTGGCAGTGTCCAGGTGTTTGCTGGGCATGAGCACACCTGGGCTGGAGGCCACGGGGCACCAAATCTGCTTCCAGCACCACTGAATGCTGCTTTTCCACCTCAGCACAGGCAAAGCTAAGCACAGACAACGTCCCCCTGCTGGTTTCCGCCGGTGAAGAGGAAGGAAGGCACTTCCTGCAAGGAAACTGGAAGCAAGGAATGAACTCCAAAACCTCTAATACTTGCCTTACCTGTTGACTCTGCGGGGGCATTTGTCAGGCTTGATATCCACTTCATAATGATACACGTCGATCTTGGGAATGTCCACTTCAAAGTAGTTGGCCAAGAGCTTGATGGGCTTCCCAACAGTTCCTATCCCGGGCCGACGCGGCGCTTGAAATACCTGCTGCAAGGGTGGCAGGTAAGCGCCTGCAGCTGATGGAGAGAAAGCAAAGGGTCAGCAGGGCTGGAAATCCCAAAATCACACAGCCGGAGCCCACAGCCCTCGCATCGCCACATCCCAAACCCACATGGGATGCCAAAGCTGCACGGCTCGCAGCAGCACAGCTGGAGATGCAGGGAGCTTCCTGGCCACCTTCCCTCTGGATTATGGGAGGCAGCTGAAAATACCTCCAGCCCCCACTTCAGCGTGGGCTCCGGCTCTGTGAAGGGGACGCAGTGGCTCTTCTCACATTATTACACGTTACAAATTATTATGCAGATTTACTGGTGGAGATCTGGAGCTGGAGACGTGATGGACGGCGCTGCTCTCTGAAGCAAGATCTGCCCTTCCTGCTCCCTTCCCACTGTTCCCAATCTCCATCCATCCCAGTCTGCATCTTATTTGTTTCTCAAAACCCAGTGAGGTCTTCAGCCAGCTGGGCAGGGATGCAGCAGATCAGATATTCAGAGCACTCCATCTGCAGGGCCAACTGTGGAAGCCAACCCCCAGACAGCACCCCGGCTCCGATTTAGGACCCGTAACACACGGAGCTCTCACCACCCCTCACTCTCATCCAGTTTCCACTTGAACCCAAACTACGATCCCGGGCTCACAATACTGGAAGGAGAAGAACGCGACATCAGCATCTTAAACTCCAAATGTCCTTTTCAGTTTTGCACCTGATCTCTGCAAGATTTGCTGCGCATGAAATGCCACTGTGCCCCAGGACTCCATCAGGACTGCCCTGAGATGCACCCAGGGCCACAGGCAGAGGAGAGGAGTGGATGGGAACAGCGCAGGAGGGAAGAGCTGTGCGGCACTGCAGAGGCAGCTCGTTTTAAGGAGCTGATTTGCTGATCAACTGCTCGCAGTACAATTCATGTCTCCGCATGATGAACATTTCTTGGCAATCTCCAGCACCCTGGCTACGAGATGAAATGTTTTTAAATCAGAGGCAGCAATCAACTGCAGGTATTTGCCAGCACTGATGGAGCCTCCACCTCCCTGCTCTGCCTCTCGAGCACAAACCATGCGGCCCCTCAGGAGGTGCATGGCTCTGCTCTGCCCTCCCTTCACCTGGAGATCTCCAGATGCTTTGTGAGCATAAACCCTCACAATTAAGATTGTGAATCACAGATTAAGGAACCAACTTCAAGCAACACAAGAGCCGGCTCAGGAGTTCAACGTAAGCCACGGAATGTTGTGAATGCAGTGGAACTTCTAGGGACACCCCTGCTGGAGAGCACAGCTCCACCAAGCTGAGGGCAGCAGTGCCAAGGATGGGAAAGCTGCTGTCTGTGCTGCATCAGAGGGTTTCATTTTGGTGACTGCAGAGGTCCTTGATCACGAGGAGCTGAAGCAGTTGCCCACCACAGCGCAGCCCCAGGCTCACTATTGCTTCGCTCCTCCAGCAAAAGAAGGATGCTGGTTACTTTTCCTTTCCAAATCACCTTGAGTTCCAAGGATTTTTAAAAAGCTGTTACCTCGTAGGCTTTGCAGCTGGCACAGCAGTGCCTACCTGGGACAGAACTGTATCTGAACGCAGAGACTGAAGGCAACACACAGCACCTGTATGCAGCTCCGCGGCCCCAGAACCGCCTTGTGGGACGGGCTGTGTGCATTTCAACAACGTGACAGAGACCCCGAAGGGAACCCGTGTGTTGGACCGATCCTTCCCCAATGCCCAGCCGTGCCACAGCGTGCTGGAGGCAGAGCGGTGCCCTACAGAGCCCCGCCAAACCCCCACACCGCCGACATCTGCAGAAAAAGGGCCAGCGGAGTCCCCGTTTGGTGGAAGGAGCCTCGTTAGAGCGACCCAAGCATCTCCAGACACAGGGGCTTCTCCGCATACCTCGACTCTCCATGGCAAAGCCGCACAGACTCCCACTTTGTCATGTAAATGAGGGCGCCGAGGGCCAGGGGCTGCAGGGCGAGTGTTGTTCCTGCAGCACAATGCAGCCAGTGAGCGGTAGAAAATCCGCCTGCCATTATAAATTCAGCAGCCTGGGAGGAATCACAGACTTTGGCACACAAAGCCGTGCCCCGGGGACGCGGCGGGCAGGAGCGGCTGCCTCGGATGCTCGGAAGCAGCGCTGGGCAGGGATGGCAGCGAGCGCGGCGCGGCCAGGGTGAGACCGGCTGGGGCGAGCAGCGCCGGGAGAGGCTTTGTATCCGATACGGTAACAGCCGGTGAACACAACCCGCTGACCAACAGCTGCCTGGGCCAAAGCACCGGTGGGAAGGCGTGAAATTACCATGTCATTTAAATCCCCTCCAAGGCGGCATTCAGGAGAGGGGCCGCAATGGAGCCGAGACAAAAGGAAGTTTTATCACTTCTGCGACGGCCCCTCCTGCACAACCAGCACCGCGAAGATGAAGCTGGGAAGCGGAGGAGAGCAGCAGGGCTGCCGTGTGTACGCTGGGCCCCCACACATCACGCATCCCGGCCTCATCCTGAACCGTTTTCCACCCTAAACCAACCTCACAAACCACTGCAAGTGAAACCTCCCAGCAGGAGGCACAGCAAGCAACAGCACCAGCAGGAAAGTCCATTGCTCCAAGGCCACGGCGCATAGAGAGCCAGACCTTCTGCCTTTCGAGGAGCTGAGCAAATCCCACCAGCAGCCCCGTCTGCTGTGCTGCAGGGATGCCTGTCCCACGTCAGGACAGCCCTGTGCCCCCAGTGCATCCCACAGCCCCACCTGCACCCATCCAGCAACACCAGCACCTGCCCTCCCCACGGCCAGCTCTCCCCTTGCGGTGGAATGGGCTCCAAATAATAACATCTGTCATCTGCTGCCCCTAAAGAGCCAGCCATAAATCAGCCTTTTTGTTTCTGAAAAGGCTGCACACAAAACAATGAGGTTTCTGGGTGCTTCAGGCTTTCCTTCCCTTCGTTTCTTTCCTCCCCTTTTTTTAAATGGAAGGAGTTTCCCTATTGCTCCCTATTACCCAGTGTTAAGCGCTCTCCCAAGAGCCAGGTTGCTCCATTTGACCTCCTTAGATGCACCCCACGCTTCCAAAGCAGCAGCCCTAAGGAAGCAGTGCCAGACACCATCCCACAAAGCCAGGCTTCCAGAAGCACTCTGGATTTAATCTCTGCACACCCAGATGCCCACAGCCCCGGCACCCCGAGCACCGCCAGCTTCAAGCGCAGTTTAACTCCTAGCACTGCCTGCATCGAGCATCTCGTGTAGCAAAGTTACACCACATCAAACTCCAGCTTGGAAATCCCTGGCAACAAACCTGAAAGCATCAAGTGAGAAACCTCCCCCAGCACCGGGGCAGCTGCAGGCCTCCCTCGTGCCAGCCCTGCCTGCTCCACAGCGTGTGCAATTCTGCAGCATGGGAGCAAACAGCCAACTCTGCATGCTGTGCTTCCCTGTTCAACTAAAAGCTGCATTTCAGATTATAAACACTTTCCAAGGCCTTTTATGCTTTATTTTCTAGGAGTCGGTCATCTGAGATGCCCACATGCAGAAAGGGAACCTAGTGATGCTACAGCAGCTCCTAATAGAACAGCAGCAACGTTTCCAACTCCATCACAGCTCTCATTAAGAGGTGAAGCTGTTTCTGTCTGCACAGCTGTTAATAAGGACTGCGAACCAGCGCAGGCACAGCTCAGTGCATGAAACCCACAAGCTGTCTGCTGAAGCAGCCCCACATCCACTCCTGGTCCCTCTGAAGGGGTCTGACAAACAATCTGACCCCACAACAGCCCAACTGCCTCCAAACACAGCAAGTCGGGGATCCAACCTGCAGCAGAGGCTCACCAGGGCCAACACTTCTGCATCCCAGATTGGGAAAAACCCAACTACAGCCTTGCAGGCTGCTAACCTGGCTGTCCGCCTGCCATGTGGAGGAGCACGCAGCAGCCGGCAGAGAACAGAGAGCTGGGAATGCACACATTTGTGTCAGCAGCAAAGGGCCGGGGCCTGGCAGCCAGCACTGCTCTCCAGGCTCTCCTCCACTCATCCACGACCACAGCCCCAGGGTCTCTGCTAACAGCGCCTAGAAAGGGCAGAAGATAACATCTCTCCCGTCTGTTCCAGGAGAGTTTCACAGACACTGGTGTAGCCTTTCAGGGAGAAGAAAGTGCAGCTGACAGACAAAGAAAGCCTCCAGCTCCTGGGGAAGAGGCAGGACAAAGGCGAGGACAGCTTTGCCCTCACGTGCCCACATGTGAGGGTATCTCCTGTCCGTGGGGCAGCCCCAGTGACCCCACAATCTGGACCCTCCCCCCATAGAGAGGTTAAAACCCACACACAGCTGTTACCGACCCCGATGCCACCCTGCTGAAAAGCAGTGCCTTTCTGCCCATTTGTCTTCCTTCCAACATCGGCCATTTCGATCATTTGTCTCCATTCTGTTCTTTGCTAGCTTTAGGGGCGGACTACAGAAAGCATTCAGGGATAAATCACACGTGCTCAGTCTCCAGGCAAGGTGCTGCTCCCGGCTTTGTGTCTCGGTATAATCCTGTCCTAGAAGCACCCTCATGTGATTGCACGTTTCCTGAAGATAAAGAGATCCGACAGACGGAACAGCACCGGGTTTTCTGCAAGGCTTTGCACAGGAAGACAACGGTTAAGACTACGAGCGTTCAGGAAACTTGCGAAGGATAAAGAGCACGGAAAGCTGGGGGGAAAACCAAGTTTGGCTTCAAAGCCGCCTTCCACGCACTCCTCTGCACACGCTCTCACGCTCCGCGTGCTCCACGATCCCGGTGCACACAGCTGGGCCGACAGCGGGCTCACAGCACGCACACGGGATGCTGAGGCGCGGCGCTGGGCTGGAGCTCCCTGCCTCACACCGACCCGGAGCCGTAATGGAGCTGAGCTCCCAGCGCCACATTGGGGCAGGAAAGGACAAATCCTTACGGCAAATCCTTACGGCAAACCGAGCCCGAAGCCCAAAGCGGCGCTCCCTGCCCGGGGGCTGCGCGGCCACGGCCCTTCCCAGCGGGTTTTAATGACAGCCCGAATCCCGCAGGCCTGGATTTGAGGCCGAGCGGCGCTCCGTGCCTCCCGCACACAGCGGGGTGCGGCGCTGACAAAAAACCGGCCCCAATCTCCGGCAACGAGGATATCGGCATCTGCGGGCCGCTGCCCGGGACGGACGGGACGGGACGATATGATATGATCACGATATGAGATGATTGTATGAGATGAGATGATATTATATTACGCCGATATGAGATGATGAGATGATACGAGATGCGATACAGCCGGTTGTGACACGGCCCCACACCGCCCCCCGCCCGGCTCAGCTGCCAACGCGACGGCGGCGGGGCGCGCCGAGCCCGGATCGCACAGCAGCGCGGAGCCGGGAGCGCAGCGGGCCGGGCGGAGCCCCGCGGATCCCCGCTCTCGATGCCCGCGCCCCGCATCCTCCCCGCATCCCCCGTTCCGGGCCCGGGAACCGGCGCGGCCCCCCCCCCCCCGCGGCCCCCGCCGTAGGCCGCGCTCCCTCCCCGCCGCACCCCGACGGAAGCGCCGCGCGGCGCCCCGCTCCCCCACCTGCTCCCGAAGGTCCCGCTTCCATCCCATCCACGCGGGCGCCGCTCCGAGCCGGGCCGCGGGCAGGGCGGGGCCGGGGCGCGGGGCCGGGGCCGGTGCCGCACCGCCGCAGCCGCCTCACGCTGCGCCCCAGCGCGCACGCGCCGCCGCCGCCCGGCCCCGCGCCCAACAAAGGCGGCGCCCCGCAGCCCCGCCGCCGCCGCCATCTTGGATCGGCCGCTGCGCCGTGACGGGCGGGAAGCGCGGAGCCGCCGGTGGCGGTGTGAGGGGCGAAGGGAACCGCGGGCGGAACCGCCGCGGCCCGAAAGGCGCCTTGGCTCCGCGCGTCCCCGCGCGGGGTTGAGGAGCGACGGCGCGGCACGGCTTGAGTAAAGCGGCGACCCCGGGAGCGTTGGGTCAGCGCAACGCAAAATCGTGTTTTTAACCTTCGTTGTTACCGCGTGAGGTCGTGGAAGGAGGCCGCAAAAATGGAAGCGTTTGCTTCACGGAACGACGCGGCCGAGGCGGCTCACGGCTCTGCGTGCGAGTCGGTGCTGCTGGAGCAGCCGGAGCTGCTGAGCGATGGGCGCAGGAGGCACGGAGTGCAGCGCTGTGCAGTGCAATGCAGTGCAGTACAGTGCTGTGCGATGTGGTGCGGTGCTGTGCAGTGCTGTATGGCCATGCTGCAGCCTGCCCACCTGCCAGGCCCACGCCTGGGTCCCGCAGCGGTGTCAGCACCCTGCAGGCTCTGCTCCCCTGCAGCACTCGAAGCTCTGCACACGCTGTGGATGCTCAGGCTGCGCCTCACCTGCACTGCCGGCACCCTGCAGAGCGCAGTGAAAGCTGAACTCAAAGCAGAGCTGTTCCTGCTGCAGCTGTCAGACTCTGAGCTCACAAACCCCGCGCTGGGAACGCAGTGAGCCTGCAGTGAGGAGCACGAGGTGGGATTTGCACACTGTGCTTCACCCCCAAACTTAAAGAATTGCCACCAACGCGTGGCATCATCAAACCGGGAGCTGCAGCGCCTCCCTGAGCAGCAGGGGCAGCTGACGAGGCCAGGCTGGATGTGGCTCTGCTGCTTGGTGACCCTGCCCACAGCAGGGGGTTGAAACCAGATGGTCTTTGAGGTCCTTTTCAAGCCAGGCCGTTCTGTGGTTCTATGAAGGAGAATGTGATGAAGGGAGAGGAGGTCTCTGCCCATCTGAACCCTCACTAACCACAGGCTGCAGCCCAGTGCCTCCTCAGCTTCTTCCCTGTCCCTCGGCTGTTGGACGTTTCCATTTCCTTCCCAGCTCAACCTTAAAGGCATTCTGTAGCTGCAGCCCCGCTCTTAACCTGCGACTCATCTTGGAAAGGCAGTAGGGATGAAGCTGTCCCCTATTTCTGAACTGCTTGGGTTTGCCTGAAGGTGAACAATCTCAGTGCTGAAATTCAACTCTGCTGCGAGAAAAGGAAATAAATTGAGGGGGAAGTGCAGATTTGCTGCAGATGAAGGTTATTTTAAGCGCTGACGTGGCCCCGCTTCATTTAGAGCCGTCATTTCATCCTCAGCCAAAAGCTTGCTTTGTCCTCACCGAAACAGTTGTGAGTTTTCTGAAGAAACAACAAACCCTCACCTGAAATAGAAAAGACGAAGAAGCGAGCAGCTCTTTCCTTTGCTCGTTTGGACGTGGCATAATTCCTCCAGGTAGATGGACTCTTCTGACACTGCATTTTCTCCAGACATCATGATAGCATTCCTGCAGCCACTCAAAAGTTCATCCACTCTGAACATCTCCTCTCTGATCAGCACAGCCTCAGGAAACTGAATTCAAATCCTCCTTTCGTGCAGGTGTGACCCATGGCTGCTTCTACTGCTTGCCACCTCCCAGCACATCACAAGTAAGATTGTTGTGTGCACAACACGCACGAGCTGCAATTCCAAGCTAAATAATGTCAGACATTTGCTTACAGGCACCACTACGGGTTGCTCACTGAACGCTGCAGTTATTGAACGGGAAGGAAAACCAACACTTGGCACAGGAATGCCCATTTCTTTTTTCTTTTTATTTTTCATTTTATTATGGGACACATGAACACAAAATATCCCTGCAGGCTAAAAAAAAAATAATAATAATAATACATTGCAAATTGTACACAACCAGCATCTCATCGCAACATGGGGCCGCTATCCCACCCAGAACAGCTTCAAAGGAGTACCTCGTATTGCTATAGACAAACACCCAGCCCAAAGTTAATAAAATACCAGTTTGAACATTACGAGTCTAACAATATAGAAACGAAAAGTACATCGTAGGTCAAAAGGAACAAATGCAAACATTTTACACTGAAGTTTCAGCCTCTAGACATAGAAATATGAAAACGCCAATAGCAAGGTATAAGAAAACCTGTAAGTGATATCACAAGATCTTTCCTCAAATGCACAAGGAAAAAACCTTGCAGTTGAAACAGTATTGATACAATGCCCTCCAAAGCCCGCCTTCTTAAAATGAAAGCAGAGCTTACTCCCTTGCTATTGAGCAAGAAAAATCCTACAGCACATCCACAAAGGTAGTTTGGGGGGAAGGTTCTGTTGAACGCCATCTGAACAAACGTGCCTTCACCAAGTGAAGAGCAAAGCTGTTGGTACAGGGCAAACAACTCTGACACTGCGCCTGGACAAGGGAAGCGCTGCAGGAAGCAACGTGCCTGATGTCAGCACCTCTGCATGCCCTCTGGATGCAGCTCACAGCAACGAGAGAGAAGCCAGGCTGTTGGAATGGTGCAGACAGGCAAACGAGCGACTGCCAGAGCTTGTTCAGAATTCAGCTGTTCACAAAGCAAGCAGAACTGGTTTGAACATGGGATTTCTGCCTCCCCCCCCCCCTTTTTTTTTTTTTTTTTTTTGTATTAAATATCAACCATCCCCTTCCCCAACTCTTTAAACTTTGCTACATTTAAAATCCTCCACACCACATAGCTAAACAGTGGCCAACAGGCTTTATTTATAAAAAGAACAAAAACGAAACAAAAACACCTTAAAACTACACCTACAGAATGCACATCTTCCCATTGATTGACACATGCATCACAACTCAGATCACCAAGCCCAACCTCCAGACTCAGCTTTCAGACCTGCATAGGACAGTATTGCCAAAACTTGGATCTCATCACCAAGCAGCAGTCCTGAACTTCAGCGCTCCCTGCTCCAAGTGACAGCACTGCACCCTTAGCAGAATCCTTTTGTCTTTTCCTTTTCTTTGCAGGGGTGTTTTAACACCAGGCTGAGTTTGGCTTCTCGCTGTGCTTCCCAAAGCCAGCTGAGATCTGACACAGCATCACAGAACGGTTGGGTTGGACGGGGCCTTCGTGCCCCCCAGCCCCCAGCCCTGCCACGGGCCGCTGCCCCCAGCTCAGGCTGCCCAGGGCCGCCATCCACAGCACCTCCAGGGATGGGAATCCCCAGCAACCTGCACTGCCTGAGCTCAAACGCCCCGTGCAGTCGCAGGCAAACAGAAGAGAGGCTCTCGCTTGGCTCCATGCGAACTGGGAGCGCTTGGCACCGGACAACAAACCGCCTGGTGATAAAACTCCATACATCTCACGCACCCTCGATGAAACCGGCCCCCTTCCTGCCTAGTGCACAAACCCAAACAGCCGTCTTTGATCCTAGAACTCAAAAAGGGCGCTCAGCTTCTTTCCAAGGTGCCAAAGTTCTCCACGTGTGTTGGGTCAGTCAGAGTTCATTCCAAAAAAGCGGTTTTTTTTGGTATTCTCCCTGAACGAGTACTGAGAAAGCAGCCATCTAGCTGGAGCAGCGGTCAGCCTCCCACCCACATGTCCTGATTTTATTACACAAGTGAGGTATTCTTTAAAAATAAAAGCAAAAAACAAACAAAAAAAAGCATCTTTTTCCAACCTAAACTCATTGACTACACGTGCCAGGAGCAGAGTTTGCTTCAGTCCCATCTGAACAGAAAAAAAGAACAAGTTTAAACTTAATTGAATGCGACATCCTATCTGAAAGAAGGTCAGAGAACCGTTTGAAGACTACGTTCAGTGTACTGTGGTACAACTGAAGAACAACCAGCATTTAGAAATGTAAACTTCCATTTATTTACAAGCTTAATGACCGAAGGAAACAGCATTTCCTATTGCTGATCTGAGGGGCCGGTTCCTCAGCTTTGGAACAGCAGACAACTTAGCAGCAAACCCCACGCAAGCATCAGAGAGCACAGTGCAATGGCTGGGCTTCTCACACTGTGATCCAAGGAGAGGCGCCAGCTCTACTCAGCTTAGGAGCACGCTGTTAATCTGTGCTCATTAACGCTAATTAACGCTGAAGAGGAACCTACTCTTCACGCTCTACCTTTACGGATCCCAAAGGCAAAACCAAGCCCCTCTTCTTCACGGCGCACTGCAGCTGAGCAAAGCCAAGCAGATTTTACAACCCTAATTTCTACAGGCTGGGACGGAAGCGGAATAACGAGCGTTAGGGTGATTAATCGTGCTGCTGAACGCAGTTGTGTGTGCAACCCAGAATCCCAGGGGAAGAAGTCTGAAATGCTGGTTCAAGTCCTCAGGTTGCCTGTCACACAACACGGCGCACTGCCCAGCTGGGCGAGCCTTTCCTACGCACAACACCCAGCTCCAAACCTACACGAAAAGCTGCGGACAGGACACCAACAGTGGATATAAAGCAGTTCAAAAGAACTCTTCAAGGAAAACAAAAGCATGGAAGTGCGTCTTTTCTCCTCAGTTTTTCAGAATCTGCCAAATTGTGTGCTCAGAAAACGACACGAGAACGTGGGGTCACTCATGCACAACCCTCAGCTAGAAAACTACACCGGTGGGGGGGGGGGGGGGGGGGGGGGGGCTTAGAAAACAAATATTTATTGCCAAAGTTCAACCTCCTACGAGAAAAAAGTGTTAAAATCACTTCGATTTATCAAACCACACAGCAGCATAAAGTGGGCACTTTTGTAAAAGTCTGCAAAATATCTAAAAGCTAATTTTTTTTTTTTGCTTTTTTTTTTTTTTTCTCTTTTTTTTTTTTCTCTTTTTTTTTTTTTAAATCCTTTTTTTTTTTTTTTCTTTTTTTAGAGGGGGAGAAAACGATGGTTCAGTGTTTGTTACGAGACCAGGGCAGTGTTACTGGTAGCCGTTACAATGAAATCCTGCTGACAGGCATCACCACATTCACAGAGCAGGAACCACCGGTCTGGACTGGCAGAATAGTGCAATTGCTTTGCAGCCCGAGTCTGCAGGTTAAAAAGGTCATTAGTAAAACCGACTAAAACTGCAAGACCTGTGAAAGTTACGTCTGTTAAAAGGCATTTACAGTAGTGAAGTCTAAAATCTCCATTAAAAAAATCTATGGCCCCACACAAGAGAACAATGACATCGAACTGGAGGAGTTTCGCCATACTACGCAGTCACTAAGCAGCGCCTGAGGACGGAGAATCACTCGTCACCATCAACTCATGGGGTGAGAAGGGAACCTAAAGACCATCGCTAGCAAAATATTCCATAGAAACCTTTCGTGCCAAGTCCTTTAAAAACGTCGGGGTGATCGGCCTTTTGCGCTTTGAGGTAAAAATTCAGTCCAATGCATCAGAAAAGACAGTCTATGAATTTCTATTACGTAAAAGAACGGAACGAATGGCTCAATTGTGTCGGTGCATCAGACATTGTTTGCAGTCCAGATTCAGTGCGACCGTTCAGAGCTGCTGGTAGTGGGCAGTCTGAAAGAAAGGGCCCTAGCGAGAGCAGTAGGCATTGACAACACGTCAGGACTGAACGAGTTGTTGGCTTTGCCTCATCTTCCCAAACGCTCTCAAGCAAAATACATGGTATGTTGAGTATCGTGGTGGATCTGCACTGCCTTTGCCAGAGCCTGAGGATCACGGCCATTACTCTGTCCTGACACGTGGCTGCCTTCAGCACTGTAAAAATGCAGACACATACAGAGAACCGTGAACAGCTGAGCCTGTGATCCAGGTCCACTGTCTGGCTACCGAGACGGCGAGGTGCAGCCCCTTACCTGTCGTGATCCTTGTCCACAAGATGGTACCTAGCCCTGAATGCCACCAGTCTGGCATAGTATGCAGGTGCTGGAATAGAGACTGATCGCGTACAGCGCACGTAGGTGTGACACAGCTGATAGGTCAGCAGCTGTAGCTCATCTGCAGTGAAACAGTTGTCATCCCACAGGACCTGGTAGTGCGAGGGCCGGCTGGTTCCCTGCGGAGAAGAGACAACAGTTCAGCCAGAGAGCATCAGCAAAATCACAGGAGGTATCTGAACGCTGCTCCTTCTAGCAGTACTTAAGTGCAAGCGCCAAGCAGGCACTCACCAAACTGCTGCAACTGTAAATGTGCCAAACTAGAAATGAAAGCCACATCAACTCATCGGGACAGCGGTCAGGATTCAGCCCCACAGCCTGAGCACGGCAGAGCTGCAGCATTACCTGAATTCCCGCGTGGCTGCAGAGGTAAAAGTCAAATTCAGAGGGATGCGTGATGGTGCTGTCCACAGTGGTGCCCGCTGGTACGTTGCCACTCTTACCCACCTAATGTGGAAAGTTCATTATTAGCCCGTAGGTTTTTTGGTTGGTTTTTTTTTCCTTCCTTTAGAAGTGATCCAAAAATACCTCCTCAGGTAGGCGCTACTCACAGCAGGCTGAGAATTTATAGCTGAAAGATGTGGGGAAATTTAGGTAACTTACATAGGAGGAATGAAAATGTTCTCTGTGGGTTCACTGTAAGGAACTTGGCCAAATCCAGTTGGTGCATGACCAGAGAAAAATGAAATTCTTGCCAGCACCATTAAAATTGCAGAGTGGAATAAAGTATTTTAGAATATGAAAAGATGCAGGCTTTCTGAAACAGGCTTCACGCCCTTGTTTGCAATCACACCCCACAGATGCATCTTCTTCTAGCAAACACAAGATGAAGACATTTCCAAAAAAGGTTCCTTAGTTGGCTCACGGATTTGTGACACAGGCAAACCTTACAGATGCATCTAAAACAGGACAGACAACTGACTGAGCAATGAGCTCGTGTTGGGAATCAAAAGGCTACAAAAATCAGGTTACAGCTCCAGAGATACTGAGTGTGCTCACTCCAAAAGGGGCTGGGAACAAACTGTCTGATGTAGAGCAGTAAAAAGCAGGAGGAACCAGCTATTTTGGTCTCACAGAAAAGCCTGCTCCAACACAGAACTGCTTCTGTTTGTACAAATCAGTTCACTGCCAGTGGGTGAGATGGATTCCACCCCATCAGCCAAACACCTACGTTCCCATTCACGTCCCCATCACCTCCTTACTGAAGAACCCAACAATACTTGCCCTTTCAGTTTTGTCAGCACAGAACAGCCTGGTGTGATGCCTTTTCTGCACAACAATGTAGGTTATTCCTGGTCTGTAGTCTTCTTCCAAACTAATACAGGCCTTTCGGATTGCTATAAGTTCTGGCCAAGCTACCTGGACACAGAAGATGTAACAATTAGTGCATGCGGTATTTTTCTTTCCAGATATAAATGCCACTTCACAAGGAGCACAATCAGCCAGGATAACTTTACCTTCTGTCTAGGCAGGAAAACAAAACGTAACTGCAAATCGCATCCCACACATGCAGCATCAAGGCCAACCCCTTCACAGCACCAAATCATCAGACAGTACCTGCTTCATCTGCCCTTCTGACACTCCTCCTCTGTAGTAAATGATTCTCGTCGGCTTGAAACGCGTGGACTTGTAGAACTGTATCAGCAGCTCCCGCACCATGTTTGTCAGGTCCTGGATCACCTCCTGGCTGTACAGCAGCTCCTGCGAGGTCTCCTGGCGGGAGGTCTGCACCCGCACCGTGGCGCAGTACCGGCTGGGATGGCCGTCCATGCTGCCCACCACAGCAGCTATGGAAGGCTTCTTTCCATCCCCAGCAGGAGGGTGAGTGACGTCTGCTCCCAGAAAGATCACCGGCTGCTGGAACACTGAGGGCCTGTTTGATACGATTGAGGTTTATTTAATAATAATGTAAAGAAAGGGGATGAGGAAGGAGAAAAAGACAACCGAGGAAGGCATATCCAAAACCATTCCAGGTCTTTAAAGATGAAGGTGTCTGCCTCAATCTATTCCAGACAAAACAGAAAGCGAAAGCAAAAGAAGAAGGATCAAAGGCAGACAAACTCACAAGCATTTACCACACCTCAACGTCTCATTCCTCTTCCAGTTTGGAAGGAAATACAGTACGGTCATGGAAGTGGTGAGAGAAAAAGGCAGACTGAGGACAGGAAAAGGCAAGAAAATGCCCTCTTCAGTCTGCAGGTATTTCTAATGAACTCATGATTTTGAAAGGCAGCAAAACAGACTGCCAGAATTTTGTTTGATAATTCAGACTTCAAGGAAAGCACTAAATCTCATCTTACCTTTGATGAGGTACGAGCACATTGTTGATTCCTCCGAGCTTTGCATTTATTTTCAGACACAGGTTGGACAGCGTTTGTGGTGAGGTTTTCACCACGTTCTTTACCTGAACGCACTGAGTGGCCATGCCAAGAAGAGTGTCACCAACCCGCTTTACTTCAGCTGTGACAGAAAACAGGACAATGGATCCAGTTACACGAAGCCATCAGTTCCACCATCTTCCTCTTGTTTTTCCCCAGGTGTCACACTGGGTCAAACCCCTAAGGGCTCCTGACAAAGTCTCAGCCTGCTCTTCAGGAATGCACGAGCACTTTGTACCTTTCCAAAGGGCGTGTGGTGAGAGGACAAGGGAAAACGGTTTCAGATTTAAAAAGGGGAGATTTAGGTTGGATATGAGGAAGGTTCTTCTATGCTGAGTGTGGGGAGGCACTGGAGCACGCTGCCCAGAGGTGTGGTGGATGCTCTGCCCCTGGGGACGTTCAGGGCCATGGTCTGAGCAACCTGACTGAACTATGGATGCTGCTGCTCACTGCAGGGGAGCTGGACCTTCAAAGGTCTCTTCCAACTCTAAACTACGATTCTACCCCACTGAGGACTGATAATCCTATCTCCAAAATACAATTAAAGCATTGTATATACAATACAAAAGGCATTGCCTGCTTTGTCTCCCTCCTACCAATGAATGCATGATGAGATGCCCGCTTGCCACGCAACTCCTTAACACTTCACAGCTTCCACATACCATACACGGGTGTCTTGCCGGGAAGAATCACCACGATCAGCTGCAGGCCAACATAAGTCAGTTTTAGATGTTTAAACATGGGCTCCACACTGTCTGCACCCTGGGCATATTTACAGAAACAGGGCTGGCCCTGGATCGGCATCCCTGCGTCCTTGGAGATCTTACGCAGCTGGTCTGTAAAACTCCTGTGAATAAAACACAAGTGGATGCAGCCTGGTCTTTTCACCACCTTCCACTTTCCTGTTAATTCTACTGATCACATTCTATCAATTATAAGTAGTTCAGATTTCGGAATAAAAGATCATCATCAGTTCTCTGTAAAAACAGCATTAGACAGAATCTGAATGCAGTCTCCACAACCTGAAATGTAACCTCAGTGGTAAGGGAATTGCTGCTCTCCTGGCCAGCCAATTCAGTTATGAACTTTGTTTAAGCCTCCTCCCAAGCAGCACACATTTAAGGCACTGCAGAACTATCATCTCCTCTTTTTACTGTTAGATGCATCATTAACTGACACTGCATATCATCTTTCAAAAATATGAGGAAAATAAACCCTGAAACAGGTATCCTGAATAAAGAGGAAAATACTTACTTTAGTAAATCTTCCCTGCATTGTTTTTGAGGAGCAAAACAGGCAACAGCCCAAACTTTAATCTCAATGCCAGCATAGAACTGTTTCCCTCTCATGTCCCACACACCTTGGTTTGGTGTGGCCACAGTCTTGTTCTAGGTAAAAACCAAAGGCAAATTAAAAATAAAATGCTGCCTGGTTTTGTCTACAGCCAACCAGAGTTCACACAAAAGCAATCCTTGTGAGAAGATAACATGGAACCTTTAATGAATTTCAGCACCCTCAGAACAAGGTATTTCACAAGACCTGGAAGACTCACCCTGCCTCCATATTGCAGCATTGGCGCTGGCAAAACTCTGCCTGTCAACTCAGTCATTTCATTATGGACAACAATACCAAACTCCTTCAGATATGGATCAGGTCCACCAACCATACTGTTACTTTTCACCTGGTGACAAGAGAAGTATCTGTGTAACTGCACCTAGCGTTTCAGCTGGCTCTGTCTTCTTTGCAACAGCTTTTCTGTTTAAAAGGATTTAGTTTACAGAAGTCAGATTTTTTGATCTTCTGCAATTCTTGGCTCATCTGGTTATCATTACATATGCACCAGTGCTTCTCAAAGTCACGCTCACAGACGCAGGCTGTCAGCTCAAAGCTGCACTTACGAGTCTGCTGATTTCTTCCTGCCGGTCCGGCGCCGATCTCGCAGTCGCTTTTATCATGGTTGATGTCTGATTGTCTGTGAGCTTCTTGATGCACCTCTGGCCTGCCACGATGTTACACACCTGCACAGGAACAGTGAACAGTGGCACCACAGCATTTAACAAAGGACAACACAATGCAAGAGCAAGTCAGGTCCTCACCTCAAGCGGTAGGTACGTGTGTTTCTGCTCCTGTCCTACTTGCAGACAGGGAAGATGAGGATATTTTAGCTGCAGACTGTACTTCTGCTTAAAATACTGAGCTACTGTACACTCCATAGCCTGCCCGTTTTCCAACTGCAGGGGAAACCTATGAAGGATATTTGCTCTGGTTAGTTTGTTGTTGTTGTTTTAGATCTTGAAAGGGGAAAAGAAGAGCGGAAAGTTAATCCAGAGTAGAAATGCTTAAAACAATTATGTACTTAGCTCCTGGATTTCTCCTTAATGATAGCATTTCAATCCATCAGAGCTATTTATAAAGTTATAGTCTTTGATAACTCTTCTATTCTCTTGTTCTGATGGAAATAAAGCAGGTGCCTAAATCCACATTACTTCTCTGCCCTGTTAAGGCTGAACACAATTTCAAATCCACACAGCTCTTTCCCCTTCAGAATCAACTTTTCTTGTACAAATAACAAATCAAAACGATCCCAGATCTTAAAACTCATCACAAGGTGCTGGCATACGTACGTCTGATGACTGGCTGGTCGACGAGTAACATTGCAAACTCGGTATTTTCTCTTCATCTGGCCACAGTGAGTAACCTCTACTTTCAGACCTGGAAACCCAAAATAAAAATCACCTAAATAGAATCAGACATGGGAATCACCTTTGGGAAAGATGAGAGCAAACAGGAAAGGTCACCTTCCCAAGTGCCTCGTAAATTCTCACTACAACAACAATAAATTGACAGCATTTCGATGCAGTGGCTTTAGAACAAGCCTTTACCTCTGATTTCTTTGGTAAACTTGACACGCTGGGAGTCTGTCAGAGGCTTGGTTTGTTCATTGATGTTCTGAATGTCCAAGACCTCACACATGAACTCAATGATAGGCTGAGCACGATAGAAAGCAGTTGCTGATACTACAATAAAAGAAGAGGATATTTAATTCAGAAGCAGCACAAACTCCATTACATTAATGAGACTCAACTGCCTACATACCATCAATGTTGAGCATCATGTTCCACATGGCAGGTCTGACAGACTGGTGGAAACCAAACCACACCTCCCTGCCACCCCCCAGAGGGTGGTAATAGCCTTCAGGGGGGGAGAAGAAGGAGCGACCCACAGGAGTATACCTGAAAAAGGGAATAATTCATTTGAGCATCCCTTTCCAACAGACTTTCCTCAAGTTGGGTGTTTGAAACACGCTTCTGTGGCACACCAGAACTTTAGAGCTAACTCGTGGCAAGCATATAAAAGCCGAGCAGAGCCGGTGGAAATCCTATAGCAAATTCCAGTTGGAAACACGACCAGCAGATACAAGTCTTGAGTTCAGATCAAATATCCCTATGCTAGTGCAGATTTGTAATGCAGGTGTTGAATTACACAACAGCTTCCCTCAACCCTTCTGCAGTACGAAGGGGTAACAGCAGAACAGCAGCTAACAGAAACGTAAGACAGAGACAAGACTGACCAGTTCTGCAGACACCTCAAGTACCCACCTCATGGAGGGAAGGTGCCGGGTGATTACATCCAGTGCCTGCACAGAATCTTCAGGAACTTCGTTCAAATGCCCTGCCAGAGCTTCCAACAGCATCTGAAGGCTGACGACTGACACCCACTGAATGGACACTTTAAAAGTCTGGTCCTTCCCCTCTCCTGGAAGCGTCACCTCCATATCCACCTTCCAGATAAAGCCAAGCAGAAGCTTTTGTTAAGGACTGCAGCAGACTTCCATAACATTATGTTACACTGCTAAGCAACGTTATAACAACACCACCACCACCCACTGCCAATAAAAACACTTCCAATGGCACCCTGGCAGTTTCCTGCACGAGGTTTGAGCTGCTCACAGTAACACTCACTCTGTCCCTGCCGATGGGTAATGGGTGTGCAGTGTACATGTTCCTCTTCCCATCGTATCCAGGCTGCCGGTCACCAAATATCTGCATCTTGAAGTGCCTCACCATAGTATCCACCACCTCCCTGCAGAGGGATGTAGCAAGTTAGGTCGGAGAACAGGAAAATCAGCAATGGTCTGATGTGGTTTCAAATGCCTTTTCTATGTTTTCTTAATGGATCAAGGTAGGAGAAGTTACAATGCACCAAAACACACTGTTAGTCTCTGCTGCTGACTGTTGTAAGTCACCTCCAGGTTCAGACCCTGAAGTGTCAATATAAATATGCAAGGCACTTGTCCAAACTCTCTGATGTCAGAAGAGATGCACTCAGTACAGGCAGCGCCATCTGAAGAACTGTTCACCAACAGGTACAAGCATCTGCCCTGGGGTGAGCTGGGGTGCTCTTCATTGGGGCTCTACTGACAGGCACCGACACCTAAAACACTCCCATCAATGTACGAGCAGAACTCCCTCACCTCAGCTGCTAACAGACATCTTTGTATAACAGATGACACAACTGTGTCACGACCATGAAGCAGATCCTACCTGTTCACTCTTCGGGGTCGTTTTTCTGGTTTGATATCCACGTCATAGTGATAAACGTCGATCTTAGGGATCTGCACCTGGAAATGGTTGGCCAGGAGGCGGATGGGCTTCCCAACAGTTCCCAAGCCTGGGCGACGGGGGGGCTGGAAAAGGCTTGTTGGGGGCCCTGCAAAGTCAAACAAATACAGAAGAGAGCTGTCACTCAGTGCAGCATCTTTTCAGGTGTATTCAGCTGGAACGTCCTTCTGGCATGGTGAAAAGGAACCTTACAGGGCTCCCCACGCCTGCAGACGGAGCATTGCAAGCAGCCCACGGCCTCCCAGCAGCTCTCAACTTCCAAGTGGAAAACGTGCTCCCTAAAGCATGTGTGTGTAGGTTAATGCCACAATTCACTCTCTGAATTGTAGTGACATTTATCCAAAACTGTGGTTTATGAACTCGACAGTCCCCAGATGGAACCTACACATTTACATATTATCTATTCTTACATAAGGAAAGATAACTGTACTACTAACATCATTTCTAGAACCAGCCAAAAGCCGCACCTTTTCATTATGGGCTTAAACTTCAGATGAAATACATTCCCAATTTCTACCTGAAAGTTGCTGTAATCTAGAAATGAGTAAGATAGATCTTTTACTCTAATCCAAACTTAAGACATATCTCCACGTTGGATCCAGGCTAAAAAACCAGTTGGGTTGTTTCCCTCACATCATGAACACATCGCTTCTATTAACAATGAAACACTTCTCCCCTGGAGCAGAATTCCACCCGATTTCAAGTTCTAACACAATGAAAGGAATGAGGTATGGCTTAGGCTTTCTTCTGAAGAGCAATGGAGCAAGCATACAGACAGGTACAGACTCCTAACACGTGTGGAGAAGGTAATTTATTTGGGCAAAGGTAATGGCTGCAGAAGGAGCTCAAAGGAAGAAATCAGGAGAGGCTTAAAAAGGCACTCCCTGCAAGCTGGTCACTGGGTAAGGCTTCAGGTAAATTCCTCGAAGTGCTGAGATCTGAGATACCATATTAACAAGATTAAACACTTTCTGTTGTTGTTCAATCTATCACAACCCACACTGCATTTAAAGCAGAGTTGATCTTTTCATGGCTTTTGTCTGTATCTGCCAGCACGCAGTGTGATCAGTGTTTCTTCCCTCTGTTCTTGAGCAGCAAAGCAGAGTAAAAGAGCAGCAATGAAGTAACAATAAAACTAAGGGCAAGTTCAGTATCAAAAGTGTCAACCTGCCAGTATCCATTTAAATCAAGGGCTCAGAGCTTATACCAGAAGAGAAGAGAAGCAGATAAGCCGTAGGAGGATGAAGCTCATATTTGGGTACACCTCAGTGTGCAACAATAAGCTTAACACAATCCTGAACTAAAGCTAAGACCAAATGAAAGGAGCCTTCTGCACTCGGGTTTATAAGCCAAGCGATGGCCATCACACTGAAATTCCACCCGAGGGCACCGACCTCAGAACGGCTGGAAGCAGAATGGCTCAGAGCAGCTGGAGCCCACTGACACATCCGTGCCAAAGCTGCTGCAGCACTGTGGCTGTTTGGGTGCAGACGTCCCACACGATGCATTGCTGGCTCTGCACCTGCATAAGTAATTGCCACCAGGCCAGGAGCACAGCTGAACTGCTCGTAGGGAGCAGTCGGCACCTCAAAAAGCTACAGCTATCTCGACAAGTGTGAATCATCAAGGGCAATCAAAGTTTGCAGTGCTTATTTGGATACGGGAGAGATGATCCATTAATCCTGCGCTAATTAGCCTGAAGTAAGTGCAAGCACTGACCTCCCACAAGAGATTAAATGACAACTATATTTACCCATTTTCCTGCCTCGTATTGACAAGTTCTGTGGGCAGACATGGCTGTCAGGAGGTCAGCACTGACGAAAGGAAGTGCAACCTTCTCCTTTCTAGAGTTACTTCTCAAAGGATTCTGGAGAATAAGTTAAAAGCCTCCTTGCAGACCACCCTGATTTTATTGGGATTTCTGCCCCATCAGCCTGATGAGGTTCATATGCACTATTTCTCTTCATTTCTTCCACTGTGTGACATTTACAGGCTCTGACACCTCAAGATGTTACTTCAGACAGGAAGTACACTCTACAGAGCCAAAAGAGGATCCTGCAGTGCAGGCAGCTGGTGTGGACACACTGCATGGTGCAGCTGCAGAGCAGACTGTCAGAAACCTCTGCTATCTTAACAGCAGAGTTCAGAGCGGCAGGGCTCTGCTTTGCAGGGGGTTGGACTCCATGGTCTCTGGAGGTCCTTCCTAACCCTACAATTATCACAGAATGGCCTGGGTTGCACAGGAGCTCAATGCTCATCCAGTTCCAACCCCCTGCTGTGTGCAGGTCTCCAACCAGCAGACCAGGCTGCCCAGAGCCACATCCAGCCTGGCCTTGAATGCCTGCAGGGATGGAGCATCCACAGCCTCCTTGGGCAACCTGTTCCAGTGCTTCACCACCCTCTGGGTGAAAAACTTCCTCCAATCCAATCTAAACCTCCTCTGTCTCAGTTTAAAGCCATTCCCCCTTGTCCTGTCACCATCCACCCTTACAAACAGCCGTTCCCCTCCTGTTTATCTGCTCCCTTCAAGTACTGGATGGCAACCACGAGGTCTCCCCGGAGCCTTCTCAGCTCTACGCTAAACAAGCCCAGTTCCCTCGGTGTCAATAAACGTTTCATATTTCAACGAAATTAACAATTACCCCAATAACTGCACCAAGATAAGTCACACTTCAGTAAAGAAACACAAGTGGGAAAACACCCCATGCAGAACAGCACCAGCGTTCAGCCAAAGGCTGCGGACCGACACAACACCCGGCACGGCCCACCTCAGCCTCACAGCCGCCCACCCCCAAGGACGCGCCGCGCCCCACTGACAGCTCAGCCCCGCAAACTTCCCGCGGACTTGGCGGCCCGTTCCACGCCGATCCTTTCCGTTCGCAGCGCTCCCTGCGCTCCCCGCGGCCCAGCGGCCTGCAGCGGCTCCCGGGCCCGGCCGCGCCGGCGCAGCCACCGTCCGAGCGGCACCGTGCCGCGGCCTCCGCTTCCTTCTCCTCGTCCCCGCGCTCGCACGGCCCCGCCGGGCCTCGTCCAACCCCCGCCCCGCCCGCGTCTCTCACCGGGTCCCAGTGCTTCCATGGCGGCGGCAGCGGCGGCGGCCTCGCTGCGGTCTCCCCCGGCCCCGCCGGCCGCCCCGGGCCCCGCCGCCGCCGCCGCCGCCGCCGCGTAACGCTTGATCTCGGGAATATTGGCTCCGGGGCGGGGACCCGACACGGAAACCGGGGGAGCGGCGGCGGTGGGGGGAGCGGCGGCGGCCGGGGGGGGGTTGCGGCGGGGCGCGCTGCCGGAGCTCCGCTTCCCCGAGCGGCGGCGCAAACGATCCCCACGATCCCCCCGCTGCGCCGCCGAGCCCGAGCGCGCCCCCGCCGCCGCCGCCAGCACGCGCCGCCTCCCGCCGTGCGCGCCCCCCGCCGCCGGCCCAGCAGCAGGAGGAGGAGGAGGAAGAAGCGCCCCCTCCACGCCGCTCGGCGCCGCCGGCTCGCGCACGCGCAACGCCCCCTGCCGGCGGGGGCGCGCACGTCGCTACGCACTCTTCGAGCGCCGGCGCGGCCTTCAACAGGTGAGCGCGCGGCCCCGCTCCGCCCCGCCCCTCTCACGGCGCCGCCTCACAGCGCGGCTCCGCTCCCGTTCGCCGCACAGCTTCCCCTCCCGCTCCTTTTTTTTTTTTTTTTTTTTTTTTTAATTTTCTTAATTCCCCTCCTCAGAACGCCGCCTTCATTCACGATTAGGGGACGGGGACCCAAAGGCCGGTTCTGTTCGGGGGCAGCCGTAAGGTAACAGAGATGCCGGGCCGCCCCGCAGCCTCTCTGCAGATCGCGTTTGCTTTTCTCGCTCCCTCCGTTCTAAGGTGCGTTGGGGATACGGGAACCACCACAAAGATCCGTATCTCCCACAGATCCGTGACCAAACGCCTCTGAAGTTTTGTTTTGTTTTTCCTTTCCTTCCCCCTCAGGACAGGCAGCACTTGACTGTTATTTGACTTCAACGAAAAAAAAAAAAATACAAATCATTTTATGTTCTACAACGTACAGACCCGTCATACCTATTTGTGAGCCGGATCACACACCGCGCGGGTTCGGGTTACGGTGTGGCTACGACCTCCGCAGGCCCAGCACCGGGGCTCCCACACGCGCCCCACGGCTGAGGACAGCCGAAGGACCTCACGCAGCTCCGCACACCGGGCGCCTCGCTCCGCCCTGACCGGGAGAGCGCCGCCACGGGGAGAGCGGGAGGGCGCCCGCTGCGCGAGCGCTGATTGGGCGAGCTGGAGAGGGCGGGGCGAGGCGGAAAAAATCTCCCAATCAAATACAGGGGAGGTGGGACTTAAAGGGACGTACTGAACGAGGATTGGCTGTTCCGGAAGCAGGGCGGGGCTAGGGCAGCGCGCGAAGACTTGAAGAGGTTTCTTACGCGGCAGCGCTGCGACTGCGTCCGACTCGGGCCATGGCGGCTGCTCCCTCTGAGGTGAGTTCGTACCGCTCCGCACGTTCGGCTGGCTGCTATCGGGGGCCTCACAGCTCCTGTGACCGCGGCGCGGTGGAGGGTTGGAGTGGGCACCGAGCGAGACGGCGGCGCCTCCTCAGCTGCCTGTGAGCTGACTCACACTGCCGACTCCCCGCCTCGCTTCAGAACTGCACTTCCCAGCATGCCTAGCGGCGGCGCTCTCTTCCACCTCGCGATGCACTCTGGGAAGCTCATAGCAGCCTATCTCCGCGCGCGCAGGAGGGAGAGGCGCGGTCTGGCCTGGCGGCGCAGTGCACGAAGGGAGGGCGCGCGGGCGGTGCCGCCGTTCGGATGGCGCCTTGTGCCCTCCTTGAGGCGCGTCACACACAGGGGGGATCGGCCGGAGCGCTGTTTGTCTTGTTTTGTCTGTGTGCGAGGTCACCTGAAGCACGATTAGATACCAATAAAGATAGACGGAGTGTGTCAATAAGTGTATAAATAAATGAGTGCCAATAACGCGTGCGTGATCCTATGGAAGAGCTCAGCCAAGGCGTTGGGGTGGATTTAGGCCCCAAGAGCCGTTCGTGCATAAACGCGGTGCTCAGGAAAGCTGCCCTTTGCTTTGTAGCTGCAACCAGAAGAGCTGGATGTGGCTGTGCTGAAGGCCCATGGCGGCGACTCAGGCAGCGACTCAGACAGCGGGCAGGGCAGCGCTGAGCCGCCTTCACCGGGCCGGCCGCCCACCGGCACCGTGTGCCCCCAGGATGCAGGTCTGTAATGGGGCTGCCGGACTTCACACAGGGCTGCCTGGGTGGTGGGGATCTGCTGAGCTGCTGTACAAGGCTAAAGTGCTGCTTTTGTTGCTTAGGGTGTGGCCAGAGAGCTGCAGAAAAGGGGGTTTCGAGGTGTGGAAAGGGAAGTGGTAAACGGGCTCATTTCCTTCCTTTTTATGGTTTGCTTTACCTACTGTGGTTTTATTATTTCAAATTACTGATTTATCAGTGAAGGATTTTCAGTTTTGCCTTTTTTTCCAGCCTTTTGAAGAGGCTGGAGAGGTGGATTTTGAATATTTGATTTCATGCTGATACAACCAATGTCAACGGTTACAGTCATTGACATCTATAAAATTTAACATTTGTAGCTTTATATGTAACCAATTGCTTGTTAACTAACCAGTGGAATGTACTTTTCCATAGCACACATCGCTTCTTTTCTTTTAATATAATTTGTCAGATTCAGAAGAAGAGATTTTTGTAAGCAGAAAAGCAAAAGGCAAGAAGGTGCTTCAGGACAGCGAAAGTGAAGATGGAGAGGATGGTGACTGTTCTGTGCAGAATGACACTCTGAGTGGAGACACAGAAAATGGAGAGGAAAAAGAGGTCACTGCCCAGAAAAACAAGAAATCTCGGATTCGCCAGGCTGTGCTGGACAGCGATGACAGTGACACTGGTGACAATTTGCAAATTGAAAATGTTGACACGAGCAGGAAGTCTGTCTTGTCTGAGAATGAGCTGAGAGAGGAGAGACCACCGAAATCTGGGAAAAAATCCAGAAAGCATAAACACAGTCTTCAAGACGAGGCAGCTGAAAAATCTGTAGGAAAACCTAGAAGAAGAAAGGAGAGGGAGAGAAGAGCTGAGTCCATCAAACAGCTTATAAAAGAGAAAAAGCCAAGCTCAGAGGTACATGCTTTTGGCAGAAAATCTCAGATGCTTTCTGCATTAAATTACATGTATAACAGTATTATTATTTTGTTTCAATGCTTCTGCATCCTTTGTGTCCTCATTACTACAACAGATAGGGTCTGGTATCCACAAGGACTATTGAGAGTCCTGTGTATTTTAGGGAACGCTGCTCCGTGAATTTAGTTTATCTGTTCTGCAGAGCTCTGAAGTGAACGTGCCTGGCTTACAGGGCACGGAAGATTCTAGGCTAAGTTTGGCATACACTTTTTCTAAGTTTCCTTGAGATCTGTTGACAGTAATCTTAAATGCAAGTCAAAGAGGAAATCCTGGAACAAATAATTCAAATATTTTCTTTTTAGGGCCAGCAGGTGGCTGGTGGTGAGAGGTTTCCTTTTAATGACAGTGGGTGTCTTCTTGATGACAAAGAACTTTTCGATAATGGCTTAGAAGAGGAAAACGATTCCTTCCCAGGGGATGAAGAGTCAATAGAGTCAATACGAGCAGCAGTGAAAGAGAAAATAAAGCAATACAAGGTATAGCAACATAACATTGTTGGATACTAGCAGGAAGCATTTTATTTGAGCATACGTGAAACCGTTTGACGATTGTACTTTTTACAGTTGTAACAGGGTAAAATAGTCCTCAGGTTTTTGTTCTTTAAGGTAGAGGAAAGTGGTATTGGAAAGTTATAAGGCTACAGTAGAAGCTTTGGAAATCTGCCATAGTGTTACACAGGATTTGTGCTCGTTGATGAGAATGTGTGCAGATCCTGTTTTGATGACCAGTTATGATTCTGTGATTATATATTTTGACCTGTTTGCCCTCACTGTGCCTATCTATCTATCTATCAAACAAATGGATCTCTCCTTTCTGCACTGTAGAACAAAGAAGGGCTTTCTGAGGACCAAGGCTACAAACGTGTCTTTGATGATGATAATGAGGAACCTGCATTAAAAGAACCAAAAAGGAAGGTGAAGTATTTTGTTTGTTACAGTTACTCAAACCATTGGGAGTTTTTTGTGTCTTTTCAATGCTATCCGATGTTTTTCTTGGTTTGCTGTTTTGCTATTTCATTTAGTTGTTTTGTGCTGCTTCCTTGTAACTTGAAAGAGGAAAAATAGAATAGAGAATCCCAAATTTTCCATTCTGACTTCAGATTTCTTTTCTTTTCTTAAGGAGCGGAAAGCAGCAAGGTTGAGTAAGGAAGCCATTAAACAGCTACACAGTGAGACCCAGCGGCTTATTAGAGGTACAGCTGAATTTTTTTTTAGTATGTAGTGGGATTGAAACTAGTAAGAAATTCAGGGGAGAAACAGAAAGGATTTGTCTGAAAGAACAGATCTTTCTTTTACCTGGCATTAGTTATTTAGGGTTGAAGAGTAAAAGACTGTTTTTAATCAAGGACCTTTTTAAAGGTATAAATGCCTTAGATGACTTCAGTTTTTCTTGCACCTTGTTTCTCTGGTAGAATCATCTGTGTCTCTCCCATACCACGTGCCTGAGGCCAAAAGCGTTCACGAATTCTACAAGCGTAGATCTCGACCAGTGTATGAAGGAAATGCCATGGCATTGCTGAAGTAAGGACTTAAACCTTCCTCATGTATTTCCGTAAACATTTAGGATATCCCAACTTAGCTTCTGGGGGATGAGCAGGCTTTCTTGTGGGCTGCAGGGCTGTCTCACATGCACGCCTGCTTTTTGTGCAGTCACTGTTGCTGGTGAGCCTTAAAAGGAAACTACTGCTTTTTTGTTAGAGTCTTCTGATGCAATAAACATCTGGAAATACCTTGTTTTGAATAACATGTAGGGAAATACTCAGGTAGGTGTAAAATCTGTTAGGAATTTGTTTATATAGAACAGTGTAGAGAAATTGTACTAAGCTTTTCTCAAAATGAAGTTTTCCAGACTTTTATCCTTCACCTTTTCTTACGCATCAATGAGAGAAAATTATTTTCTTCTCAATTTGTTCTCAGCCTTTCCTCTCCTTTCCTGATAGCCACAGATGATGTATTTCTTCCTGCCTTCGTTAGGTCCACTAAATATCAGTTCACCCTAAATGAAGAAGCTGCAGGCACGAAGACCTCAAGCACAGATTGCAAAGATGGGCCAACAGAAGGTGATCAATCAGCAGCTAATGAGCCAGAAGCAAACCTTGGTGGAGACATGGATACTGCTGCCAGAGATCCTCTCCTTGGTGTGGGGGAGAACTTGACAGGAAACTGTGCTGAAAAGTCTGGAAAGAACACTGATGATTCTCACAGTGCTGTAACAACTGCCAGGGAAAGAGAGGAACAAGAATCAGTGCTAAGCACCGATTGCAGTGAACAGAAAGAGAGTGAAATTCCTCTACCAGTTGGAGGCAGTGCTGTTGAGCAAAGAGATGAAACAGCACCAGGCCTGGGAAACAACCAACAGGTGGGGCCTGGGTTGGCAGCGCTGCCTGAAAAAGTGAAGAAGTCCAAATTGGAGAAACTCCGTGAGCTGGGAATCGATTTGACCATCAAGCCAAGAATCTGCTCTGGCAATGAATCTTTTATAAACCTCGATGAATCTGAGTTGAATAAAGGTATGGCTTTTATTTTTGTAATACTATCAGATCTTAAGTATGCAGAGCGAAGCTGAATTGAAAAGGAAAACCTCTTGAGAAATGTTCAGGTGTCAGAGCAGAGTCAGGCATGTTTTCTTACCAGTGTAGATTCTTGTGTGTTTCCATTAACTGATGCTGGAAAGGGCAATTCTGATTCCTTAATATTCACGTGCTTGAAGGAATGCTTACCCCAGCTCTTTGTTGATGAGCCATTAGTCTTAAATATATTTGTTAACAGAAACTTAGGGATTCCTGGTGGCTGGAAGTGTAGAGTTGAGTTGTTGTGAGTACATCGTACTCAGTGGGAATGTCATTTAGTACTACTTCCTGCAAAAATATTCTGTCATGATTGATTATTAGTCAAATTGTTTTACAACTACCAAAATGTCTGAGGTTTACAGTTTTTAATTAATGCCTTTTGAAAAAATTTCAAGACCTGCTCTCGATAC